CCTGATCTTCCAAGCGGCCTGATAAGGCTGGATGTTGGGAGGCGCCATGGAGACAAACTTGTTCTGCCCATGAGGCGACCTCAAACTTACCCTTGGTTAGTAGAGACCGGAAGAATGGTAGTAATAGTAGTTATAATTGTACCCCATTCCTCCATTCCCTACTAGCTCAGGGTAAGCAAAGAGTTGCTCTACGCTGTAAGGTTTAGTTCAGGTTTTAAGCTAAAGGGCCTTCCGGCTTCATTTTTCTGTTCATAAGCTGGACGCTGTTCTTTTCAAAGAGGTCCCACAAGCTTCATAGGGTATTTCTGCATATGGGAAAATGGGATGTAGGATGTAGTCTCTAAGCTCAATTCACTTCGAGCCTTGGGATATGGGAGTTTCCGAAAACTAGGAGTACCTTATTTTGGGGTCCTTATAGTAAGGATCCTACTATTTAGGGTACTACAGTAGGGTCCCCTATTTTCGGAAACTCCCAAGTCAGTTGGGATATAATATAGGGGCCTAAATGATTAGAATAGGGTTTTGGGGCCCATTATACTATAATTATAATAAGGAACCCCAAATAGTATAGGTACCTATTCAGGCCCCTAAATTACAATGCTGGCCCCAGGGACTGAAGAGGCTTTCTGCAGAGCTGAGTTTTGGAGGTCTCCGGAGCTGTGTTTGTTGTTAAACGGCTCTTTTCCAACCGCGAACCACCCCCCCCCCCCTTGCTTTGTTATTGTGCAGGCGTTTACATTGCATCTCAAGTCTCAGGGTTATAGGATTTCATGAACCTCAACATAAACCCTAAATCATAGGACCCCCGGGAACTAACATCTAGCTTAATCAAACTTCCATTCCGAGAGCTCAAGAAAGGAAGACTTCGGGCAGGGAGTGCACCCACCAAAATGGCTGACCGTGAGCATGTGTGTGTGTGTGTGTGTGTGTGTGTGTGGGGGGGGGGGGGCGTATGTATGTATGTACGTACGTATGTACAACATAAAGACACCTATGTATATATGATTGTCTAGATACATATATATATATATGTACATGTATATGTATATGTATATGTATATGTATATGTATATGTATATGTATATGTATACGTATACGTATATGTATATGTATATGTCTATGTCTATGTCTATGTCTATGTCTATGTCTATGTCTATGTATATGTATATGTATATGTATATGCATATGTATATGTATATGCATATGTAGATATATATATATATATATATATATATATATATATATATATTATATATACATATGTATATCAGGGTCCCAGGCTTGGGGCTTGTGGTCACCTAGACCGCCAATTCGTGGAAACCCTTTGGACCAGAAGTCCGAGCCACAAACCCGATGGGCGCCCCTGCCCGAACCGTACTTCAAGGTTTTTGGGTAGGTATAAGGGTTTAGCGTTTTTCAAGCTCCTCTTTAGTGCTAGGGTTTAGGGTTTAGGGTATAAACAGAGTTAAGTAGAGCTTGTAAGGTTCCTTTAAGAGCTCCTATACAGGGATCTCTAAGGGTTCAGTAAGAGCACTGCGTCGAGGTTCATGGATAGTTACATGTGGGGTTCTACGTCCCCTGATATAGGCTATAAGTATTAGTCATCCTAAACCCAAACGCTAAACCTGTACTTATAACCAAACTAATAACTACCAGACTCGTGAGCCTCCAAATAACTCCTGAACATCCCCCACAACGGGCCGGGTGCTGAAACCACTGCTTCCGGGATGTAGGGTCGACGACCCCAAGTTTTAAGCTTTCAGGGCTTGGGGCTTCTGCAGGATTGAGGGGTCTTCGGTTTAGGGGCTTTTGGGGTTTCGGGTCCTGAAGCAGCCCGAAGCTCTGCATCCCAAGGCATCATCAAGAGTGGAGGCGCAAGTCCAAGCCCTTCTGAGGCTTATCGAACTGTCATGAATGACAGTGTGCTCGCTTTAGGGTTTAGGGCTTGGCCGGTATGATATATGTACATCCAACGCACTGATACAACTTTCTACTCTAAACCCTACAGCTTGGCCGTGTGCAGATGCTTTAGTCCTCTTGCTTTTGCCCTTTGTACTTGTAACGCCGCAAGAGGACCGACGGTTGCAGTCATCGACAAGCCCAAGGAGGCCTAGGTACCCTCCCACATACACGAAAGAATGCGGTTGATACATGTGTGCTCAACCCTTAAACCCTAAATCCTAACCCCTAGCAACCTGTAAACCCTTAACCTGCCAAGGAGCTCTAGGTCGTTGGAGGTGTTCTCCGGATTGTAGCCATGGCGTTTCATGGCTTCCGGAGAAAATTCACCCTAAAATGGGGCTTCGTATGGAGGGCGACAATCAAGTCTGGGGCAGGTGGCATGGCTAGGGTTGGGCTGAAAAGGTTTAGTGCACCAGGGGGCTACAAGTCAGTGGAGTTGAGGCTTGGGTGTGGAGCTTTATGACCGTTGGCGAGGTATAAGAGGATTTGCTTATCAAGATACTTATGAGACGCTAGAAAGACCATCAAAAGCTCCGCGATACCGTGTCTTACAGAAAAACCCTGCAAAACACTGAAAACAAGCACAAATCTTCGAGGCTTCGGAGGGGATGGGGCGAGGGGAAGCAAAACTGCGGGGAAGTCCCCAAGCGAACGCTTTGATGTCGCGGACAGGCATGCGAAGAAAGGAGAAGCGTAAGATGAACAGTGGGCTTCGGCTTCAATGTGTGGGCCGTAACACTTAGAAGAGGGTTTGGGGATATTTTGTACTTGTAGCATGCTTATACTTCATAAACCCGAGGGAACACATCTTGGTACTTATTCAGGCTTCTGCCCTCGGGGGATAGATTCTAGCTATCTCGGGCATCGGATTTACATACATAGACGTTTAGGGTTTCGGGTTGAAAAAAATTCCTGAGTTGGTGACAGACGTAGCTGTAGAGCTTGCTGCAGACCGAAACCGTAGCAACCTTAAACCCGAAAGCCTGGCGACTAAGCCTCACGACCCTGTAAGTATGCAAGGCCTTCGATCTTTTCCGTTTGGGTTAAGGGTTAGGGCTCCTTGTTTCAATGTAGCTTTCAAAGTACGTTCAAGGTTTAGGGCTAAGGCTCGGGCTTATGGTCCAAGATTTAGGGTGTAGGCTTTCCGGTATGGGCTTTGGGGTTTACGGTTCAAGCTCCAGGGTTCAGGGTTTGGGGTTTAAGAAGGATCAAGGTCAAGGGCTTCTGTGGGGAATCCTTTCACACAGGTCATGCACTGCTAGCTTCATCCGGTGTACGTAATCCGAGATATAGAATCATGCCTTGAGTCCCCTTCCGCATGCGTTCCTCCTGCAGCACGCATCCTACACCCTAATTCGCTCCAAAGCTTGAACCCTGAACACAACCTAACCCCCAAGTACCCTCTAATATACCCCAAATAGCCTTTACTAGGGCCACGAGGATTCCTGAAAAGGTACTTGGGGGTCTTGGAACATCCTACATAACCATGAAAGGCCCCATGCCAAACCCCAAACCGTGAACCTCGGCTTGAAGCTTTCTGAAACTTAGGCTTCGGATACTTCTCCAAATTATAATCTCTTTTAGGGACCTTTTTCCACGGGTGCCGTACTATTTGGGGATCGAAAGCGGGACCCGAATCTAGAGAACTATGCATGTAGGATTTAGGTCCCAGATTGCAGTTCAGGGATGTTCACGACGCAGAGTTGCGCAGACCTTCGGGTATCGTGTCGGACGTTGGGTTTGTGGCTAAAGTAAAGAAGTTGGTCAAGGCTGGAACTGAGGTGCACGTTCTTGACCACGTCCAGTATTGTGAGACTACTCGAGAACCGTCGAAACTTTTCGAAATCGAATGTCAAGCCCTGCCCGGCTTGCCATAATATACTACCCGAAATCCTTCACACTGCACGTCAAACGTTGTCATATTTGCCATGAGATCTCGGCTGACTGGCGTCGAACGTCTGCCCTTGCATCTCCACTTCTACTGCTTCGCTGTGGCGACCCAGGTCTCTCAGGCACTGCACCAGGCTGTTCCTGACCCCCCCAACAACCCAACTCCCACAGCAACCCAGGAAAATCAGAGGTTGATCTTTCAGAATAATGAACGAAGCCCGAAAACTTATAATGATGCCAGATTACTGGAACCCCCAAAAAAACTCAACGGTTGCAGATTACTTGAGAACTAAGGTTCTGGGTCATTTGCGTATCCGGGTGAGCAGTTCCCAGCGTCTGCTGGCGGGCAGCGAGCACTTCTCTGTGGATCTGCAAGGCTTCGGCTTGGCGACCGAGTGCATTTAGAGAAGTTGCGACGCTGCTTTGGGTCCGCAAAGAATCGGAATGTACCGCTCCGAGCGTTCGCTGCTGAGCGGCAAGTACGTCCCAGAGCCTGGATTCTCGTTTATATGTGGGCCTGAATATATAACATTGACAGGTGTGGGCTCATATTACACTGTAGATTCATATAGGAACGGTAAGGATACTGTGTCACGAGTTTTTCAAAACTCAATTTGCTGAAGCTATCTTAAAACTCAAAAGCTTTTCCGGGGCTGCATAAGGGTTGTGCTCGGTGCTGGCATGAGGTGGCGAAGGAATACAAGTTAGTTTATCAGGAGAGTTTCAGCATTTTACCCATCGCAACAGACTTTCTATATACAGTCGGAAGCAACTTCACGCCTTGATCTCAATACCCTGTGGAGTTTAGGGTTTACGGTTTCCGGTTGTCCCGAATCCGTAAATTCCTAAAGCTTAAACCCCCGACGCCCGAAACCCTAAAACTAGCTTCCTTAACGAAGGCCCAGCAGCATCTCTAAAGCCTCCTGGTGGCGACCAAGGTCAGCAAGGGACTTCGCAAGCCGACCCTGACCTAGGGTTAGGGTGTAGGGTTCGGGTTTGGAGCTTTTCTAAAGTGCATCTGACTTTTCGCTGCGCTCCGCATGCCCAACCCATGAAGGGTGTGCACTGTAGTTGAAACACAACACAAGACGGCAAACTCACCCCGAATCAAGCTCTCACATGTGCACCATCACGTGTCTTCTCCCGTGTTACCTCATCCTCTGCTGATCCATCACGCGCTGAACCAGCTCTGTGATGCCTGTGGGGAGCGCTGTCACGACTCGTGACCAGGCACTCGATGGCGACTGCGAGGAGTGGCAGATTCACCTTTTCTGACGACCAGGAGGAGCAGCCAGGGCTTCCGCACGACGGTGTAGAGCAGGCCCACCATCACTTCGATGCTCAGTGCCATGTCTTTGTCCCATGGCACCAGGAGGGGAAGCATCCCGCCGTCTCATGTAGAACCTCCAGGTCACGAAGAGGGTCTTCAGGAAGCCACGGCTCAAGACCTGAAATCTTCACCCACCGACTGTGTCACGTAGAGCTCATGTGCTCGCTGTCGCGCGCCGAACGCGGAGCCTAAGCCAGCGACGTCTCTCTGCCACAACCTTCGCCGCATCATCGCCAGCATTGAGCTCATAGAATCCACGGGCGGCAGGTTCCGGTGTGCAGCAGGAGGTGGGCGAACTTGCCGTGGGTCCTGCATCGCAAAAAAGATGGCCCTCGCTTGAGTACCCGAGTTCCAAGGACATTCTTGGATGGAATTTAATCTGGGGACTCCTCAGTCGCCGTCATCGTGAGGCTCTGTCATGGCTGACAATGATCGAGGAAGCGGCGACGTCTCTCCACACCAAATTAAAGTTCACAACATCCCTCGTCATATCCTCCGTCGACCGGTCCTGCAGGCTGTCGTGCTGGTCCCCCAACGTCAGTTATAACGGTATCGACCAGATTCGAACAAGAAAAGCAAACCTTTCGCACGAAATCCCACGACAGGAAGCTGAGCATCGTCAGCGTCACGTTCTTGGACTCCCGAGCCTTGACGACAAATGAGCGGGCCGCAGCCCCGGCTCGGGCGGCTTTAGCCTATGCCGCCTCCACGTCCTTGTGATTCTTGATGGCTTTGGCGTTCATGGTGTCGAGATGACAGGCACAGGAAGCGGCAGCGAGATGTGGTGTGAGAGATCTTCGAGGTGACTTGAGCCGTAGAGATGGGTTTCGGGTTTAGGGGTTAGCGTTTAGGGTGCACGCTTATTCGTGATGAACAAAAAGTACCCTGTTTGAGGGGTCAGGGTTTAGGGCTTAGAGTTTTGGCATTTTGGGGTTTTGGGAATTTGGGGTTTGGGACGCAGGGTACCTGGATGTCTAACCGAACTATAAACTGCACTTGTACTGGGATTTACTAGATCATCAGTGCCTTGAGATTCCAAGCATGGCTGGTGTACGTGCGCACGGATATGGCAGTTTCCGAAAATAGGGGACCCTAATATATTGCCCTAGATAGTAGGATCCTTATTATAAGGACCCCAAAATAAGGTACCCCTAATTTTCGGAAACTCCCATGTAGGGATCAGCTCACGGAACCAGCTAAAAGAAACGTGGAGTGCCCTGAACCCTGAAGCCTAAGCCCCGAACCCTAACACAAACCTAAACCCTAAAACCCTAGAGCCCTAGGACCCTAAACCCTGAAACCCGAAGCACTGAGGCGCGAACTGCGGAGAGTGTCGGGGTGAGTCACTCCAAGGGCTTGCTGAAGAGCAGACAAGACCTCCTGGTGCATGTCTAGAGCGGCCTTATAGCAACCGAGATGGCTGAGAGAGGCAGCAAGGTTGCTCTGAGTCAAAAGGGTTTTTGGATGAGCATCACCCAGCACCTGCTGATAAGCAGCTACCACCTTCCGGTAGACATCTACAGCTTCTGCATGGCGACCGAGACGGCACAGCGAGCTGGCGAGGTTCTTCTGCGTCCGTAGAGTATCGAGGTGATCATCTCCCATCACCACCTGCTGAGCCGACAGCACCTCCTTCTGTGCCTCGAAGGCTTCGGCATGGCGGCCGAGGCGGCTTAAGAAAGTAGCCAGCATACTGTGGGTCAGCAGCGTGTCCGGGTGAGCATCCCCCAGCACATCTTGACGAGCCGACAACACCTCCCGCTGCACATCCAGGGCCTCAGAGTGACGGCCGAAGCGGCTAAGGACAAGCGCAAGATAGCTTTGGGTAAGCAGTGTGTCGGGATGAGTGGCTTCCAGCACCTGCTGTTGATCAGCCAGCACCTCTCGTAACATGTCCAAAGCTTCGGCATGACGACCGAGGTCGCTCAAGGACCTCGCAAGATTGTGCCGAGTCCGCAGAACAACTTCGCTGCGCTCGCCCAGCAATGAACTGCCCATGGCCGACATCACGCGGTACAAAAAGATTCGTGCCTCGTTGGCGTCGCTGTAGCGGCCCTCGTTCTCCAAGATCGTCGCTCTTAGCAGCAGGCAGACCAAGGCCTTCAGGGAAGCGATGACGATGAAAAAGTACTGCGTAGCGGAACCTCCGTAGATGAGCACAAAGAGCGACTGCAGGGCGGCCTGTGGCAGATCCTCCGTGATGGCCACGGCCAACTTCGCTGGCGAGGACAGCTTTGCCAGCAACGTGTGGTCGTGGCGCCGGTAGCATGCAGCACGAACGGGAAGCAGACCGGCTGCCAACTCTTCCGGGTGATGCCTCCACAGATACATGCCGGAGAGGCACAGAATGCCAAGGCCCACCAGAGCCACTGCGACAGCAAGCCAAGTCCTCCATACACTGGCTGATGGACTGCCATCACATTCGGGGTCAGGGTAGAACCCAGAGAGCCCTTAGCTTGAATCATAATATGAAGCCCTATGTAGTTTTAGCCATATATTCCTTCATTACAGGGTATTGGGCTCTCTGGGAAATACCGAGACATTGAAGGCCTATACTACTTACTACTTTTACCTTTTCTAGCAAGCAGTCATATGTTAACGGATGGACTAACCTCTGAGACTATATCGGGACTATTTATAGTACCCGAACAAGGTTAAGGTTGTCAACTCTACTAAACTCTACTACGAAGAAAAGGACAAGAAGTGCGAGACCCCAGGCCGGGTTCAGGGTTTAGGGTTTGGGGTTTAGGGTTCAGGGTTTAGGGTTTAGCGTTCAGGCTTTTAGGGTCTAGGGTTTCTTTCAGCTGCTGACACTCACTCAAGACCTTATCGCAGTCCATCCGTCACCTTCTGCTCAGCGGTGAATCCTTAAACCCCGAATCCTAAACATCTATACTCTAAACCCTGAGCCCTTCGGTTGATGACACTAATCCTGCATTACCTTAAGGACCCTAAACTATGGGAATTATGGTATATTCCTCATTATGGGTCATGCAGGATTTATATCATCAACCGCTACACCCAAGCTTCCCTTTCCCAAACGTCCTCTGCGACAAAGCAAGGCCGACAAAGAGCCAATCCTTGAAGGTGTCCAGGGGTTCGCCTAGGACTGGCACGACGGGCGTCACAATCGCCAAGCCGAATTCTGGAATCCGAGATTCAGCATCGCCAGGCAGGAAGATAGTAAAGTAGAGACCTTGCAAGACAGAGCTTGCAAGCATCATCGTGACCCAAGCGAGCCACAATTCCCAGCAGAGGCCATACCGCAGTTCTAAGTGCTCCGTCGCCACTGCCCACAGCGTGAACACGGCGCACACAAAGTGGAAAGTAATCACGTAGCACATCACAGGCAATGGTGGTGGCTGCTGCTCCTCCGCCTCTTCCGCCGCCACTGCATGGTACACGACGCGAGAAGAGGTGCGGCTCTGCATGCCATCGTCGAGCCGTTCAAGGCCCATTAAGGTTGCTCGGCCGATTCTTGTGAGCAAGACGCCGAAGGTGAAGGCAAGGAAGGTCAAAAAGAAGATCATGGACACGTAGTACTGTCTCCGTTGTTGCTGCTCTTGAGGGCTCAAGTCCGCCCCACAACCGGCCGGGAGACTCTCGCGCGGCCGGGCCACCCAATGTAGGTGACACTGCGTGACTTGTTGCCAACTATGTGGGAGCGACAGTCGCAGAGTTACACCCAAGCGGGATTCTGCTACCCCAGAGGTCAGCACACCCACCGGCACAGCCACAATCAGCGGCACCAGTCCAACCAAGCACCGAAGATCCCATCTATGCTCGAGCAGATGCGCCGGAATACAAAAAGAGCTCGCCAACCAGAGACAGGCTGCCAGGCACGCGTAGGCGGCCAGGCCCAGCAAAATCCCCAGGACCTGCTTCGTCGATAGGACTTCGCGCCATTGACCCGGGCAGCTGAGTCCTTCAAAGAAGTTCCTTAGCTTTGACTTACGGGCTCCTTTAAAAAGGGCGAACCATAAAGGTATGAGGGCTTAGTACCGAGGCCTTCATAGTTAGAGTTCAGCATTGGAGTAAGAGTTGAAGTCCCGAGGGAGCAAAGAGCAAAAGGCGCAAAATGGGATTTCATAATGGTCCCTGTAAGGCAAGGGACTACAAACGCTGAAAACTAAACCCTGCACCTTTAAAGAACAGGTCCCAAAACAGCTATGAAAGTATGGTAAAATGGGGGGGGTCTGAATAATTAGATTAGGGTTTGGGGGTATACAGAGTCCAGGGTCGGGATCGATTGCAAGGCCTTCGTGGTGCTAGCAGCATCGGAGTCCCTGAGCTCTCTGCCCAAATGCCACGAACCCGAGCTCTGATGAGGCCAGAAGCTCGCCAGGATGATGCCAATCCCAAGGCAAGGAAGGATAGCAAAGGCAGGTCGCATCATCATCGTAGCAGATGATCCGACTTAGAGCTGGAACCGGGATGGCAAAACGTCCAATTGTCTGCGCCCGCTGAGGAAAACTTATTCGACACGATGTAGGGTTGCGATTTTCTGCGTTGATTTCCATGATGAAACCCAACGCATGCACTCATAAGCAAGAGGGAGCCCTTTCAGGAACACTGTAACAATTTGTGCCGACCCCCATATTAAAGTCCAACCCAGCAGTTGTCCGAGAGACAGAGGACAAGACCGAAGACGAGAAACGTGGCAGATCAAGGCTTAGGGGAACCCCAAACCCTAAACGCCCTAAACCAGACCCTAAACCCTCAACCCTAAACAACCTAGACCCTGAACCCCGGGCCCCAGACCCCAAACATACCCAAAACCCAAACCGTGACCTAGACCCCAAACCCTAAACCTCCGCAACACGAAACCTAAAAGACCGCAGGTTGGTGTTCATATACGGAGGTCCGACACTACGGTTGATGATGTAAATCTTGCATTACCCATAATAAGGAATATACCATCATTCCCATACAGGATTTATAACATCAACACTAGCAGTAGCAAAATGGCCAGATAGTCCTTGTGTAAGCCTGCAACACCACTCGATCATGAAGGCCTCATCATGCCTCATCCCTAAACCCTAATATAGGGGCCAAAATAACCAGAATGAAATTTTGTTGGTCCATGATACTATACTTATAAAAAGGAACAGCCACCATAGTATTGGTATTTATTTAGGCCCCTATATTAAACCCATTCAGGTCTGCGCCGTCAGAGGTCAGAAGCGATTGCATGTTTGGGTGGGTTCCGCGGTGAAAGCTCGTGGGTTTACAGACATTTGACGGGGTTGCGGATTTAGGATCTAGGGTTTAGGGATGCTTAGGGTGTAGGGTGTACGGTTTAGGGTGTAGGGTTTAAGCTTTAGGATTTAGGGGTTAAGGGCCTTTAGGGCCTTGAGGGGCGGTATTGAAGCCAGAGGCTCCAAAAAAAGTTCCTCAAACTGTCAATATGGGTAGTTCTCTAAACTAGGGTCCCTTTCTTGGGTCCTTATTAGAAAGTGCCGTATTATATAGGGGACCCAAAAAGGGACCCTAATTTAGAGAACTATCCATATGATCTGATGTATATCGCTTCAGTAGAGTTTATCGTAAATAATGTGGGCTCTTGTCAAGGAAGTAAATTTAAGTTTAAGCTGCCATAATAAGGAGCCGGCTCTGGAAAGATTCAAGTTGGCTTCAAGAACTGGGTTCTTAGTAAGGAAGGAAGACAAACTTACCATAACCAGGAAACCGTATTTCTGTTGCGCTTTTGATACCTATCTGGTAACTATTGCTAGGTAATGAGAAGCCCCTTTACAATGAGGGTACCCTGCTCCTACTATTCGGCTTTGATAAGGGGACCCTAGAATCAAAAGGGCAAAAGGGTACTACTCAGGCCCTAAACCCTAAACCCTAAACCCTAAACCCTAAACCCTAAACCCTAAAACGTTTCTTAAACTCCATAACCAGAAGCCAAGTAACCATCTCGGTGCGGAGGGGCTTCTGGCTTCTGCAAGGATTTCTGTACGCGCTCGGCCGGTGTCTCATAAGGGTTTCTATAAGGATGTTTGAAGAGGTTGAGGGCCTTTAGCATTCAGGGCTTCGGGCAGCAGAGCTTTAGATGTTCAGTTTGGTCCGGAGAGCTTAGGGATTAGGGTTTAGGGTTTTGGGGTAAGTTTCAGGGCTTGTGGTTCGGAGCCCAATCGGAATCGGCGTGCACCTTTTCGACGCTAGTTCCCGCGCAGGGCGCGTAAAGAGTCTGGAACGGGCCTGGCATGCAGGGATTGCAAAGCAAGGATCCAGAAGCCATGATATGGGAACCTGATTCAGAAACCTTGGGTCTTTATTGGCTGCAACACCATTGGGGCTTCGAAAATTGATCGCAATTTTAAACCCATTTATTCAGGCCTATTGGGCACGAGTTTCGCGCAAGTGCAGGATCGGAAGAGCCTTGCAACTTTACTAAGGAGCCTGATTAAGAAAGCCTGGTCCCAGAATGTCTCGAGTTTAGGGGTGAGGATTTAGGGTTTAGGCTTCCGGGTCTGTAGGACCCTAAACCCTGAAACCCCAACCCTAAACTTAAATCCGATACCACGCAACCAACGCCCTGAGTCGAAGAGCAGAGTTTGGATGCTGAGGCTTCTTCATCTTTGGGGGTGTAGGGGTTTACCTATAGTCTCCATTGTCGTTCCTTCTGGGGGGTTACCTTATAGGATCCTTAATATAAAATTGGTTAAACCCAAAAAAGGAACTACAATGGAGACTATAGGTACTGTTTCGGGTTGAGGGTTTAGGGGTGTAGGGTTGAGGGTTTAGGGGTTCAGGGGTGCAGGGCTGAGGGGTTCAGGGGTTAGGGGTTTAGGGGTTCAGTGGTTTAGGGGTGTAGGACTTTAGAGGTTTAGGGTTTAGGTTGGGCGACCTAGGGTTTTAGGGTCGGGGCTTTAGATTTTCACGGGTCGAGCGACGAGCGAGAGTACAGGTTGTAGGATTTAAGGATTTAGGCTTGGTGGCTTAAGCCTTTGAAGGGCAAGGGGTTTGAGGTTGGAACTATCGGCCCCTTAGTGGCTTAGGGGTCTTACTAACTACAATAGCGTTTTGGGCTTTTTTATAGCCAAAGTACCCACAGGCCCCAAAGTAGCTCCTTTTTGGGATTACCTTATAGGATTCTAAATATGAACCCTAAAAAGGAACTACTTTGGGGCCTTAGGGTATGCTGCAAAAACCACACCATGGGTGCACACTTTCCGCGCCTGAGCGTCGGCTTCCAACCTCACCCAGGATTCGACAAAATCGCTTCTGGGGTTTAGGGCTGGTTTGGGGTTTAGGGTTTAGGGTCTAGGGTTAGGGTTTAGGGCTTAGGGCTGGTTTGGGGTTTAGGGGAGGGGGTGAACATTCGACAAACTTTTTCTGGCAACGGGGGAAGTTCTGACTTCTGACACAACAAAGCGTTTTAAACCGCCGCGGTCACTGAAGCCCATACTCAAAGGATCAGTGCTTTTAGGAAGTAGGGCTGCTTATGTCTACAGCAACTACACATATAGCTGGTCGTAGCATAAACCCTAATGGGGGGTGCTTCTAATGTTACTGTCTACTTACTTGTCGACCACTATGGGAACTAAAGTTGCTGAAGGTTGACCTTTCGTTTATTGGGACTCTAATGCCCCCGAAAAGGTTAATTAAAGGTTTGTAACTCTACTACTGACTAAGAGACCCTAAACCCCAAACCCTAATACCCTAAACTCTGTTACCTACTACTACTACTACTACCACCACTACTACTACTACTACTGCTGCTGCTGCTGCTGCTGCTACTACTACTACTACTACTACTACTACTACTGCTACGACTGCTACTACTGCTACTACTACCACTACTACTACTAGGATGCCCAGCAAGCTAGGAATAAAAAGGGCTCCCTTTTTGGTATTGGATAACTTTATAAGGAACCTAGGATTCCAAAAAGGGAATAAGGGTACTACTGGGCATCCTGGAATACTACTACTAACCCAGACCCCCGGGAGGATCGAGAAAGTAGATCCACTAATTTGGGGCCCTATTACTAGGGATAATTTACAGGAACCCCCATTAAGGGATCTACTTTTTGGATCCTCCCCTAAGCCCTAAACCCTAAACCCTAAAAACCTAAAGATCCCTTAAAGGAACCCTTACAGGAACTGGATCCTCCCGGGGGTCTGGGAAGTCAAGGTCTGCTGATCCTCGAAGCCCTGCCCCGGGGATCCTGGTCCCCGAAACCCGAACCCTAGGCTCCCAAAAGCCGAAAGGTCGAGGCTTATAGGGTTTGGGATTTAGGGGTTTAAGGTTTAGGGTCTAGGCTTAAGGGTTTCAGGTTTAGGGGGTCAGGGTTTAGAGGTTTAAGGTTTAGGGTTTAGGGGATTAATTCAGGTTTTACTGCTTAGGATCATAGGATTTGGGTTTTACGTTTAGGGTTTAGGCTGCAGGGTTTAGTGGAAGTCTTGGCCCCTACAACCTAGGAATCCTTACAGGAAGCCTTACGCGAACACTTCAGGGAACCCTACACCTGCATTTCAGAAGCCTTGTAGAACTTCTTGGCTTCAAGGAACCCGAGATCCCCTGTACCCTGAACCTTACGTATAGAGGATCAGGGGCCAAGCTTGTCCAGCTGCAGGATACACATAGTTCCGAAAATTAGGGGTACCTTATTGTCCTTACAATAAGGATCCTACTGTTTGAAATACTAGATTAGGGTCCCCCATTTTCGGAAACTCCCACATAGACCGAAGGGTTTAGGGCTTAGCCTCAACATTGGGATCCCAATTACAATGCTTATTAAGACAGAAGGGTTTCTTACTCCGGATCTACAGCATGCCACTGGGCTTGTGCGCTTCCGCGGAGAGTGGTGCTTTGGTTTGACCCGGGGCAGGAGAGGGGGGTCTATGAGCCGGTTTTTGTCAAAAGGGTTTCTGCAAGGGGTATTTATGAGGTGCGTGTGCCAACTTTGCCAGGCTTCCATTTCAGGGTGTTCCAATTTCTCGCAGAGCTTCTAACTCAAACACGCTACACATGTGGTACTCCATTTCAGACTTGAGTTCTCTCCAAAGAAACTGAAACTACTTTAAGTTGCCATAAGCAGCAAACCATGTTCTGTACTATAGATCCCTGTTATGGTAACTTAAGTTACGTTCCTTAAACAGGACCCGGTTCCTCAAGGCTGCTCCGCTCTCCGGTTGTGTCCTTGTCATTTTTGCTTTTTGTGGTATTTAGGGTTGAGGGTTTAGGGTCTAGGATGTAGGGTTTAGGGCTGTGGCGGTGGCCATCATCAATTCCACGGAAGAATACTATCCATGTATTCGAACCCCGCCAAGAAAATGACATGTTTGACAAAGAAACCTCGAAACCGGAGCCCTGCACTCTGAAGCCCTACAGTTGATGATATAAAGGGGTCCCTTTCAAGGGATCTATAAGGGTACCTTTAAGGGGCTCCTTTAAGGGATCTATAGGGCTTTAGGGTTTAGGGGTTAGGGATATAAATCCTGCATGACCCATAATAAGGAATATACCATAATTCACATAGTTTGGAGTCATTAAGGTAATGCAGGATTTCTATCATCAACCGTATAAAGCCCTGTACAACCTTGTAAAAATCGAAAAAGACGCATCAACCGTATCAACCATCTGGGTAGTTGTCAAAATGATGGCCATGTTTTGGGTACCCTAAATATTAGGTGCCGTACTATAAAAAAAAAAAAAAAAGGGACCATAATTGTGACAACCACCCATCTAAAGCCCGTATAGAACTCTTACAAAAGCCCCCGTCGAAGGGCCTGCACTCGCGGAAGGCTCCGAAGCGGGCGGTGCCTCTACAGAGAGGTGGAGCTTTTCTTGTTCAGAAATTGGGGAAATTAGGCTTGAGGGTAGTTGAGGGTTGGGGGTTACGAGTTGAGGGTTTAGGAGTCCAGGGCTTATAGGGTTTAGGGCCAGTGTGGGGTTCAGGAGGGAACTATAAGCGTTTCTGTGAAGGGTTTTGGGTTTAGGTGCTGGGATTCTCATTAAAGATCTACCCGAACCCAGAAACTCAAGGATCCAAGGGTGTACCTGCGGAATCCAAGAACCTACCGTTTTTAGGGGTCTACCCTCTAACTAAGGGGTCATAACCTACTATTTTTCAGGATTTTGGAGTCACAGGTAGGGCCTAAGAGTGTAGGGTTTGAGCTTGTCTTCGGTATCCGAACTCCCCATTTTCTGGTCCTGTTAGACTTCGTCGCCGGGGTCTTCGTTCCTGCCCCGCTTCATGGCTTACCTTTGGTTAGTAGGGAATGGAGGAATGGGGTACAATTATAACTACTATTACTACCATTCATCCATTCCCTACTAACGGTTGCTTCGAGCGAAAACGGACACTGAGGATCTTCCCGGTGCTCGAGAGAAGTAAGGTTCGGGGCTTAAAGTTAGGGCTTAGGGTTCATGGTTTTGGGTCCAGGGGTCAACTTTACGGGTTTCGGATTTCGGGTGTGGAGGGTTAGGGAAGCCCTGAATTCAGATCACCTTCCTCTTGATGCCGTAACACTCAGACCATAAACTTCGCAAGCCCGGACCTCCTAAGGATCCAAAGACCCCGAAGCCAGAAAACCTTAAACCCAAGAATCCACAAGCCTAAAGAGAACCCTGCCGGGGGCACAGTCCCATTCGCCTTCCGATCGGCATTTAACCATTCGGCAGCTGTGCCCGCCTTCTTGCAGCTCTGCTGGGTTGTATAGTTCCGTTTAAATTTGAAAGGGGTTGTACAAGGATTTATACCGTTTAATTGGGATAAGGCCTGATCTACCAAGTTTTCATGGGGTTGTCGCAAGGTGTTAGTTAGGCTTCCATGGAGGTGTTAGAGGGTGCAGGGGTGGTGTGGGGCTTAGGGTTGAAACAACTGGTCTCATTCCTCTTTGCGGAGTCTATATGCCCTAGCCCTATTCCCCATGCACGCATTCCCTAAACCCAGGCCCTAGACCCTAACCCGTCGTTTGCAGAGCCATGACGTTTTAGGGTCTAGTGTTGAAGCTTCTTGGGTTCAGGCTATACGGATCAGGGATTAGGGCTTAGGGTTTAGGGTCTAGGGTTCCGGGTTCAGAGTTTAGGTAGGGTTCAGGGATTAGGGTTCAGGGCTTAGGCTTAGGGTTTAGGGGCTTCGGGTTTATGTTTCGCTTGGGATCCTTCGAATGAATTGGGATCCCACTTCTTGGGGTGCTGGATTTCTCGGCTTTTTGGGGGATGTCGGAGGTGGAGTGCAACTGCAGCTACTATTCACATCAGGACTATGAAAGGAGTACTAGTACTAGTATTATTTAGTGTTAGTATGAAGATTAGTTATTACCTTAACCCCCAGAAACCTACCTCTTTAAGGATTTATATAAAGAAACCATATTAGGGAACCCTAAAAAAGGTAGGTTCCTTAGGGCCCAGGTAGTGTTAGTATGAGTAATAGCTATTACAATTAGTATTACTATTCTTCAGCTCATCCAAAGCCCTTCGAGGCGGACATCTGGCAAAGGGAGCCGTCTTGGTCCGAAAACCAACCGAGCATAATATCATATAGTATCCAAGGGTAAAAAGGAGGGACCCTTAATAAGGACCCCTAGGTATATACCCTTAATATAGCTATTATATACCCATTATATAGCCGAGCATAATATCACATGGGTGGTTGTTAAAATCAGGGCCCCTTTTTGGGTCCCGATAATAATACGGCACCTAATATTTAGGGTACCAAAAGAAGGACCTTAATTTTGACAACTACCCATATAGTATGCTGTAACAAGCTATGCTTGCTATGATATGTCATAGTAGCACAGCAGCTCTGAGGGGGAGTGCCCTTGCATTGAACACCTGGAGCTCCGCACTCTGCTTTCCAACCCCTGCTTCCCAAATTTGGACATGTCCGGGCGCATGTGAAGGTTCGAACAGCTTTGCCAGTTTGCTAAGCAAAGTGGGGCTGTCCTTGTAGTTGATGATGTCCCCAACCTGGTTCTGGCCCTTTGTGCCTAAACCACCTCAATATACTGTACAAAGGGTAATGCAGGATTTTGTCCACCCACCGTACCAAAACCTGCGTTTGTTGTGGTTTCTTGTTGTGAAGCATACACACTGATATAGAAGCCATATGTACGCTACACTTTGGTAAGTTAAGGTAATACAGGGGCCTTAATAATTAGAGTAGGGCTTCGGGGTACATTATACTATAAGTATAGTCAGGAAACCCCAAAATAGTGTAGGCAACTAAAGGCTGAGGCTTTACCTCAACCACCGAAAACCTATGTGTTTATGGCTCCGTAATATGGTTTCTGTATATGAGTTCTACAACATGTAAGCTTTCGAGGATGAAGGTAAAGCTAATTCAAGGTTGAAGAACCCGAGAAGGTCCCCCAATAGATCCCCGAATAAAACCCGCAAATGTTTTCCACGTCTTCTGTAGGACACCGAACGGTTTGGGGTTTAGCGTTTAGGGCTTAGGGCTTTGGGTTTAGGGCTTAGGGTTCAGTGTTGAGGGTTCAGGGTTTAAGAAACCCTGAAAGTCGTCCAAGCCCTCTGTAGGAAACCTGACGGCTTTGGGCCTGTGGCGTGTCGGAGCCCTGGCGCCGAGACGCCTGACGAGCACCACCTCGGGAGCCGCGCCTGAAAAGCTTCGGGTTTTAGGGAATCGGCTTTCATAGGGCTGCAGAGGTTGTACAGGGCTTTTGTTTAGGAAAACGCGTTGAGTGGTTCTAAACAATCTAAGTCTAAGGGCTTTAAAAAATACGAAAGCGTTTTTGGGATACGTTTTAATGTAATATAAACAAGGGTAGAGTTGAATAGGGACGAGGGGGCAGGATCCCAAGGTTTGGATGTAGAAAAGTGTTTATAATTGAGGGTTGAAGGGTTGTGGCAAGGGCCTGGGATTTCCGAGCGAAAAGGAGGGTGTAGCTTGCAGGGGATTCAACTTATGCGACACGGTTTCCCATCTAGGGCTTGGGGTTCGGTGTTGGGGTCGTGCTCTGCAGGTGTTGCTGGGTCGTCGCGCCTCCGAATTATGGCAGTATGGGAGTTTCCGAAATAGGGGACCCTACCTAATATAGTACCCTCAACAGTAGGATCTAATCTTCGGCAACTCCCGCATAGCCCTTTAACACAAGTACGTGGAATGCAAGGGTGAAGCCCTCGTCCATGTGATACGAGCTCATGTAAGAGAAACAATATGTTGTACCATAATTATAACAAGGAGCCGCCAAAATAATACTTGTAATTATTAAGGCCCCTAGAATATCATACTTCAACGAAGTGTTTGCAGACGAGGGGACTGAGCACCGGGGCCCACGTTACAGATCAGCTTCACGAGAATGCCAACAGCGGCAGCAACAACAACAAGAACAAGGAGAGACCCCGATGTTACAGAAAACTTCTGAAATCAGCTTTCATGCCGTACATTCTCAATCAGGTTACTTCATCATCATGGCAAATGAACTCAGGCTGTTAGGGTGCCTGGCCCGTATAATCCCAAGCCCCAAAGTACCAGACCCTCTGAGGCCTGCCAGAAGATCTCCTGGAACCGCCACGTGCAGGCTGCGTGGGTGGCGGCCTCACGTGCTTGGAGGGTCAGAGTATCCTAAGTGGGGCTCGAGACAATTACAACTGTACTTATGTTCTATATCTTTTCATGGAGCTGTGGGTCGTAGGGCTTGGCATTGTAGGCTAAGAAGCCCTCAAACCTACACTCCAAACCCAAAAACCCTACGCATCCCAAACCCTAAACCCTAAACCCTAAAACACTAAACCCTAAAGCCCGAAGCCTTAAAACCCTAAACACTAAACCCTAAAACCCTGCACCCTAAACCCTACACAGTGAACCTTTAAGGACCTCAAACACGGTAAGCCTCAACCCGGCAAGCCCTGGGTTGCTTGCTTACTCACAGGGACGGGGGACTTACAAAGTAGAGTTAGAAGGTTTAGGGTTTAGGTGTTAGAGGGTCTAGGGTTTAGGGGTTTAGGGTTTAGGGGTTTAGGGTTTAGGGTTTAAGGTTTAGGGTTTAGGGTTTAGGTTTTTGTTTTAAAGGGTTTAGGGTTTAGGTTTTTGTTTTAAAGGGTTTAGGGTTTAGGGATAAGAGAAAGGTACATGTAACCCAAGATACTTATAATGGCCTGTAACATTCAAGCTTGATCGTCCTAAACTTTCCTAATCCTAGTCCCGCAAACCCCTTAATCCTAAGCCTCAAACAAAACCAACAGGAGCCTTACGCAAACCCCTCAAGATCCCCTGATCCTCCTCAACCCTGAGTTTAAGCTTCCTTCCTCCCAGCCCTGAAAGGAAGCTTAAAACCACAAAAGGAAACAAATTATGAGAAAGGAAGCCTTACTTGTCGAGTATCACGGGGAATTAAAAGTTGACCTACCAAAACCTACTTTTTGCGGGGTCCCTATGAATTCCATACAGGGTTTATATGATAAGAACCCACAAAAAGCAGGTTTTGGCAGGTAAAGGTTGAGCTTTTGGATTATATGGGACTATCCTACCCCCAAAATGGTAAAGGTTACCTACTCAACTAGCAAGACGCCAGACGGGACCTCTTCGAGCTTTAAGCCCAAATCTCAACAGCCTAGCATCCTTATTTGATGCTCCGTGCGCCCGCAGCGGGCCGTTCGCGAGAGTTGAACCGCAAGAACTGCGCCTACGCGCACAGCCAGCACAAAGCCAGAGGCTCCGTCCCTGCTACGCCATGTACGACCGGGCGCAGGCAAATCTCCTCCGCCCCGTTCTCGCCGCCTTTGACACATCGCCATGGATGCGCCTCAGCGGCTCGATGGCCTTGACCAGTGGATGCAGCAGTCGGCTGAAAAGCTCCTCTGCGAGTCATCGGCGATCCATTGAAAGTGACCTTCCAGAGGCATCCCCTTGCAGGGTGACCACGGACCACGGCCTGCAAGACCGCGACTGTTTTCTCCTGGCCGAAGATCTTGCCCGCCACTTTGCCTTCCAGCAGCCAGCAGCACGTCCACAGACAGCTGGCCCCGAACGACGTGAAACACGTCGCCGCAAAACCCTAAAAAAAAACAAGCCCTGAAACACCAAAACCCTGAAACCAAAACATTTAAACCCTGCAACCCTAAACCCTAAGCTCCCAAAGCCCTGAAGCAGCTCTAAAGCCCCAAAGCCCTAAAGCCCTAAAGCACCAAAGCTCAAAGGCCCTCTTAACACCAGAATATCAGACCCGAAAACACTAAACCCTTAACCTTAAACACTAAAGCCTAAACATCTAAACCCCTTACACCCCCTAAACCCTAAACACTAAAAACCCCAAACCCAAAACCCTCCTCCCCAAAACCCTAAACACCAAACCCTAAATCCCCAAAAAAGTAAACACTGAACCCAAAACCCTCAACCCAAAAAACCCTTTAACTCTAAATCCTTAACCCTAAACCCTAAACTCTAAACGCTAAACCCTCAATACCCTAAATACCCTAAACACTAAACAAAAAAACTCAGGGGCCCCTGCTCTGGAGTCGGATCAAGGTCCTCAATACGGAGCACTTCGAAGCCAAGGCTCTCGGGTTGTAGGGCGAAGGGTCTTAGGATTTTAGGGTTTGGGGGTTTTAGGGTTTTAAGGTCTTGGGTTTTTAGGGTCTTTGGGTTTCAGGGCTTTTTTAATGCAGCTTGAGGATGTTCGGGCTTTGGGGTTTTAGGGTTTTGGGGTTTTAGGGTTGTGGGGTTTTAGGGCTTTGGGCTTTAGGGTTTTAGGGCTTGGGGGTTTTAGGGTTTTAGGCTATAGGGCTGTAGGATTTCGATCTCGGGATTTCGGATTACTTCGAAGCCGAGGCTTTAGGGTTTTAGGGCTTAGGGTTTGGGGTTTGGAGCTCAGGGCTTACAAGTTTTAGGGTTTGGAGTTTAGGGTTTGGGGTTATGGGGCTACGGGGTTATTATACACTGATCCTGAAATAGTAGTTCGGTTTTGGGTATTAGGTTTGGAGTTTACGGGTTAAACCCTGATCCTTTAAGCAGGGTTGCAGAGTTCATGAGCGCACTGCTTAGGGGCTAAGGTTTAGGGTTTAGGGTTTGGGGTGCAGGAGCTTTTGAGTTACGGGGATAAGGGTTGAGGGCTTCTCTCCGGCTTTCTTCAATCATCTAGAAGGGGTATATAAGCGTTGTATAAGGGGTCTGCAGGAACTTTGGGTTTCACTTAAGTGGTGGCGTTCTGACAAAGTCTGCAGACGGGTTGAGACTGGGGCCCTTACAGTACTATTCAAGGGTCCCCACACACAGCAGACTAGCGACATGACACCAGATCAGAATTTTAGTCCAAGTCTTGTCCCAAGTCGCTTGCTCTGCGAAGTGGAGTCCAATGCCCGCAAGTGAAAGCAGCAGGCATGTTTATATGGGCTGATGTCCCAAGTGACCGTGTTCACGCTTTTCAGAAAATCGTTTGTATAATACTGGAAAGGCGCTGTCGAGCGACACCGCCTCCTAGGTACTAAAGTATTATAAGTCCCATAGCGGGAATAGAATCGGTTTGAAATGCTTAAACTACCGCTTAGAGAAATCCAAAACCTTAATTCGTTGAACTACAAAAACCTCAACAGCCAGCAAAAAACAACCACGAACAATCCTGCAGAACCAAAACGATAACCACATACATACATACATACATACATACATACATATATATATATATATATATGTGTGTGTGTGTATGTATGTACATATGTGCGACATGTACATGTGTGTATATGTGAATATCTGTTTATATGTCTATATGTTATGTATGTATGTATGTATGTACGTATGTATGTATGTATACATATATATATATATGTATTTGTATATGAAATTATTTATATATATATATATATATATACATACATATACATATACCTATAAGTGCATACGCATGCACAAACAGCTGTCTGCTGCTTCTTTCAAGTCCGTCTCCTCGGAGGCGTCGTCCGCCGGCGCCTCGGGCGGGGGCGGGGGCGGCGCCGGAGGTGGCGCTGGAGGCGACTCTGGGGCTGCCTGGCGCTGTCATTTTTGAGGGTTTGGGGTTGCTTGGGGGGTCGGGGGACTTAGTAAGTAGTTAGTAAGTAGACTTATAAGTACCCTAAAAGGAACTCTAATTGGGGTTATGGTACTTATAAGTCCCTAGAATAACCAGCTACTATGTCCCCCGACCCTCCAAGTAGGGGTTCTGGGGGTGCAGGGTCTTTTGGGGAGAGGGCTTCATGGGTTTAGGGCTGCCTGACACTGTCTTGTTTTGAGGGTTTGGGGCTTTGGTTTTTCAAGGTTTGGGGTCTAGGGTTCCGGGTTTGGGGTGTAGGGGTCTAGGGCTTAGGGCCTAAGGTTTAGAGGCTTAGGGCTTCGTAGGTTTAGGGTTAAAGGCTTAAGGTTTAGAGTTTAGGGCTACGGGCTTGCGTGTTGGGCGGTTTAGTTGTTTCGGGTTTGGTGTTTAGGGGTTTACCGCTTCAGAGCTGTTTGATTGTGGTATGGTTTGTTGCTTCATTTCCTTCTTGTTGGTGACATTACGACAGTTCATGGTGTCCACGACTGGTCGGGTACGCTGCAAGAAGAAGCGCGGAGAGACAGCAAACAGCTTTCTCCGGTCGCATCACAAGAGTCGGTCATTCCTGGGCCATGGCGTAGTATGATTTCGAACAGGATGAAGGACAAGAGTAGCCTTCGATTTCAAAATCCTCGAGCAGACCGCGACCATAAAGCCCGCACCGAACGCTTTTGGAAAACTGCGATTCAGGGATCATCCTGCTGAGAGTTTCACGGGACCGGCGAATATTGATCCCTGCGGCTTGAACCTCCCAGAGAGCCCAATACCCCTTAATTAAGGAATATGGCTCAAAATCATAATCCGAAGCCCTATATAATATTAAGCCATATTCCTTAATTAAGGGTTATTGGGCTCTCTGGGCTTGAACCCCAAACCCAAAATCTCGAATCCTTCGCCATCAAGGCAGGAACCAGACGAGAGTTTCGGGGGGCCTTTCTGAGTGTAGACAAGATAGGCAACCCACGGAATGAAAACTCCGATAGGATTCATGCCAATAACCACCAGTGTGTGTTTTGGCTATCTTGCTTTCGTATGTGTGTATATATCTACATATATATATATATATAGATATACACGTTCACACAATCCTCACAATAGACTTGGGCAACAACACAACTGTAATGGAGACTGCAGGTATATTAGGTCGGCAGTACCTGGCGCTCTGGGCGCGGGGGCGGGGGCGGCGGCGGAGGAGGCAGCGTCCCTGGACCTGTTCATGATAGTGAAGCCTGAATGATAGCAGTAGCAAGTATTGTAGTTACGTCTCTTATGACATCTGTGCGAGAATCAACCCCAAAACCCTGTTTTAATTGTTCAGGCACAAACATTTCCCATCATTTCCCTTTAATCCGAAAGGAGCTGGGACTTAAAGTCTGCTTGCGGTGGAGGTTTCATGGTTTAGAATTCATTGTTTACCAGCTCAAGCATACCTGCAGTGCTCATCTAAACACAAGCACGCTGAGCCCCCCAAGTTTTGGATGGAGACGGCATTTTACGGCTTTGGGCTTTGGTCTGAAATGCTTCAAAGGCGTGTCTTATGTTAGTCCCTTGGGGTCCCTTACAGTAGTCCCTCTAACCCATACCCCCATTCCCATTCCCTGCTAAGAACCAGGGAGTAATAAGAAGGATACACCTGTAATTCCTGTAGTTTATGAGTCTATTCCTCAGGAGTTGTGTGCTGTAGGAACCACGCGCCAGTAACTTCTCCTTCATGGTTTGCATCTGTCTAGATTATACTACAATCCTTGAGACCACAGTGCAGTTTTTCCAAGCATTCAAACCACCAAGCTCAAAACCAGCTTCCAGCTGTGACTAGGCTGCATGAGATGCGTGCTATCTTCAGCAGCGAATCTTCACCCTGACTCTATACCCCCCTTACTTACACATATATGTATATTATTATACTTGATATATAGATATATATGTATGTTTTACCAAAATGATTGCTGCATTTACCTGTGAGCAAAGTCGACTGCTCGCAACTTCGCCTGCCGTTGCGAGACTAACCAGTCGCCCCACTGTGACGTTGCGGCGTCTGCAAGCATTTGAAGGCCGTGAAGGAGCCCTTCAGGTACACTAGCTATAGATCCATTCCCGCCACCTCCCGACACCACCGAGCTCCTCCAAGGGCGGTTTCAAAGCTTCCGAAGCTTGAGCTTCTAGTGATGCCGGCGTTTGCGTCGGCGCCTTGCAGCCTCGCAGCTGCTGGGCCGAATCTTACCTTCGGTTAGTAGGGAATGGAAGAATGGTAGTAATAGTACTTATAATCATACCCCATTCCTCCATTCCCTACTAACCAAACGTAAGGAATGTACAAAGCCAGGGTTGCCAGTGCTGTGGAGCCGAACTCCCACCAGGTCTTGCGCCGGCGCCAGCTCCATTGCAGTCCCGGTTTCGCCCGAGCGGCCTTCGAGCATTTTTGGCTCCGTGGTGGGTGAGATGGATGCCATCCCCAGAGAGCCCAATACCCCTTAATTAACTAATTAATCAATTAATCAATTAACTAATTAATTCATTGATTAATTAATTAGTTAAGGAATATAGCTTAAACCATAACATGAAGCCCTATATAGTTTCAGCCGTATTCCTTAATTAAGGGGTATTGGGCTCTCTGTGTCTCCGACCTTCGGCAGGATGCGGCTTGACAGCGTACTCGAGAAAACATTCTCTGAGTTCAACCGCTAGTCAAGGTACGTCCAAATGCGAACGATTTTCGCTCCCATCCCGCTGATCCTCCACTGAAAGGGCTCAACAAGAATTCAACCACTAAACCAAACGCCGCACACCCTAAACCCCCAAAAACTTTGAACATAGAACTCCCGAACACGGCCCACCCCCCAGCCCCTAAACTTCTAAAACTTAATTACACCCTAAACCCTAAACCCCAAGCCCAGAAGCCTTCACCTCGAAACCCTAAAACCCCGAAGACTAAGCCTTACTAAGCCCTGGAACCCTCCAAAAACCTCCAAAACCCGAACTTCCTAAAGATCATGAAATTATTCTAACACAAACACTGAAAATCATCCTTCTCGCCTCCACGAGAATCCGACCGTCGTGATCGACGACCAGACTTCTGACAGCAGCGGAGAGGTTTAGGGCTTTCAGTGCTTTAGGGTTCAGGGCTTTAGGGTTCTAGGGACTTTGGGGGTTTAGGCCTTGCTGTTTACGGTTTAGGGTCTGGCGTTTGAGGATGATTGAAAATTTTGGGGATTCTGTTGTACCGTCGTTTGTGATGTCCGTGTTTCGTCTTTTTGGGGCTGGGTGTTCAAGAGCGATACTGCAGGGATGCTCAAACAGGTGTTTGATGTGCTTGCACGATGTCCGCTTCAAGGCAGTGTCGACAATAAACCCAAAACTGTCGGAAAGCAACTAGCGCATATCTGGCGAATAGTATGGCGACAATTGCTGCTTTAACCCAAACTTGAGGTTCGAGGAGGCTCTTGACCTGGTCAAACATCAAGCTACAACGGAAAGGGTTTAGGGTTTAGAATCACAGGAAAGTGCGGTGGGAATCAGAAGAAGATTTGGGAGTCTCGTCGGTGGTAAGCACAGCAAGGTTCCTGCAGCAGCAACAGTTCATAGTGCTAAGTACCCCCTAACACCCCAAGCCCTATAGCGTGAAACCATAAACCATTTGCCTGCACCCCAGACCCTTACCCTAACCCCTTCACTGTAAGTATTGTGGTCCCACTATCATCCCTAAAACCCTAGTATCAGGCCCTACCATCAGCCCCCTGCCTTCTCGGGTTTCTCGGACATCTCCAACTTTTCCGGCGTCTCAGGCTTTTCGGAGCTTGGCGCCTGGCGCTCTTCTTAGGGCTCACAAAAAGTAACACTTCCCTACTGGGCTGCGCATGGTCCTAAACAGAAGCGGTAAGCATGATTCAAGATTCGTGGGGCTTAGGAGCTACGGATCCAATAGACTACCCTACCATTCTGCAGGGTCCGGGATTTGGGTTCATAGATTACCCTCTGAGCGACATTAAGGTCGTACGAAGATGATATGAGTCCTGCATTACCCAGAATAGGGAATATACCATAATTCCTATAGTCTAGGGCCATTAAGGTAATGCAGGATTTATACCAACAGTATGGTTGTCTGCATATCACCTTTGCCGGCATCGAGGCGCCCAGGGCATCAGTGCCGGTGATGCGCTCGCTTTACAGCTTAGGCCTTAGGTTCGGGGTACTTGGAGGGCGAGGGGACTTAGTAAGTAGTTATCTTATAGAGTTAGAAGTACCATAACTTCAATTAGGGTCCGCATTTAGGTACTTATAACTCTATATACTAACTACTAAGTCCCCCGATCCTCCGAGTAGGACTTGTGGCTTTGGGGTTTCTGGTTTAAGGCTCCGCAGCACCAATAAGGGGGACTCCTCTTCCAACCCTGAAAGGCCCAGGCCCAGAAACCCTACTCCATGAGCGTGCTTCTCTGAGACTGAACTTTGAGATCCTTATGTGCATCTGGTTATTGGGCTCCAACTTGGAGCTTCATGGATAATCATAAGTAGGGTTTATAAGCAGGATAACTATACTTATAACTTGTACCAGAGGACTTATAACTCCACTCATGGCTGACCATGAGCCTCCAAGTACCAAGAAGCACAGGAGTTCTTGAGCAAGCTCCCCCTCTGTAACTTATAGTGCCGTAGTCGGGTAGGGTACAGGGATTAGGCTGTTTGATCTCCTCTTTGCGTTCTGCCCTATTCTGCCCTTCATCCAAGTGCTTAGGCTTTGGGGTTTTGGGCTTTGAGGTTTGGGGGTTCAGGGTTTCTGCCAGTGCTTTGATTTTATCAGCTCCCATGGCTACTACAAGGGTCTGACTAAATACGAAGAGCAGTCCCATAGTGTCCTGGTGCTTCTACTTCTAGTATAGCAAGTCCCAAAACCCAATTGTAATAATTAAGGCCCCGGAACTAAACCCTCATGCCTTTATCGTATATAACCCCTTTAAGGAAACCCTTAACTTAAAGCAACCCTGTCTAATTCTTGCTGCCCCTCTAGCACAACCCTCCGATGGGGACCTTCGCCTTAGACTTCGCCGCTCCCCGCGCCGCCCTCTTCGCGGTCGGGGCCGGAGTCCGCCGCGCTCCGCCCCTGGAACAGCTAGGTATGGGTTAGAAGGGGCCCCCACCCTGTAATAGTGACCATAAGGAATATATAGGATCATATTAGGGCCCTATTATATTCCTATTATACCACTATTACAGGATGGGGGCAGCTTCTTAGGTATGGGTAGGGTTTAGGGTTTGGGGGTTATGGAGGGTTCGGGTTTAGGGTTCAGCGGGCTTAGAGTCTGTTCTAGGATGTAGATTGTGGGAATTTGGGGCGTCTAGCCTTTGAAATTTTGCAGAGCTTCCCTAAACCCTAGTTACCCCCAAATGCCCTAAACCCCAAACATTTTGGAGCCTGGACCTTGTGGAAAGATTTCGAGGCAACAGGTTCGTGGACAATGACCCGAGAATGCTGATGGCCTCTTGCTTGCGATTATTTCCTCGGTTTAAGGATAATAGCTTGGACCGTAGGAGCCGTAGTATGATTTGAGTTATATTGGGTTTAGGAATCTAGGTTCCCAGCAGCCCCACATGATATGGGCACTTTTGCTCCTACTGTTTCGATTTGAATAAGGAACCCAAACAGAGAAAAGGCAACAGAGTACTACTGGAAACCTAGTTACATGTGGGATGCGAATCGGCTGTGGGATTTAGAATATGGCTTCTGGGCTGGATCTATTTTTGTTTTGGTTGGGGTTCGGGTTTCTGTCGTGAGACCAGCTTCAACATCTAAGCTCGGTGGATCTTGACGAGCCTTCCGTGCATAAACCAGAAACCCAAAACGCCTGACTGCTGCCAGCGAGGCCCGATCTCGTGAAACCCTCAACCCCACAAGACCCTAGCCGAAAGCCAATGAATGGAAAACAAACTGGAAACCCTTGAGCCTAAAAGCACGAAACCTCAAGCTCTCAACATGCAAACCAAGCACCAACAAGCATGGAAGACAACACAAATTCCGCCTAAACCCTAAACCCCAAGCCCCAAACCCTAAACCCTGGAGCCTAAACCCTTAAACCCCAAACCCTAAACCCCTAACCCTAAACCCCATTCCCTCTAGATCCCTTATAGAGCCCTTCTGGATCCCTTTAAAGGAACCCCTATAGATCCCTCTATGGAACCCTAGTCACGACCCTCGTTGGAGGCTTGGGCGTCCCGGCACGCCCTCGGACTTGCCGGCGCTGGCGCAGCGCCAGGAGCGACGAGGGTTCGGGACCTTAGAAAGTTGAGGCTTGGGGTTTAGGGTTTAGGGGTTTAGGCTTTAGGCTTTAGGCTTTTGGGCTTAGGGTCTCGGGGGTTTAGAATTGTTTTCTTGCGGTTTAGGGTTTAGGGTTGAGAGTTTCGGGTATAGGATGCAGAACCTTTGAAGATTTGGACTTTTGGTTTATAGGGCTTGTGGGTTTTGCGGGTTTCGGGGCTTAGGGGGTTTGGGGCTTAGGGTCTCGGGGTTTAGGGTTGGCTTTTGTCCTTCGGCTTGCGGGAGGTGCATAAAACCCAATAGTCCGTGATTCTCCCTCACCCTAAGGTTCCCTAGCACCTCCTGCCCTAGAACCTGCTCCCTGAAGGATCGCGTGAGCTTCGAGTCTCAATCCTCAGTCCCCAAAAAAGCGAGACCCTGAACTTTCCGAAGAGTTTGGGCACGAGAAAAAAGAAGATTTAACAAAAAAAGAAGTCACTGGTTTTGGGTCTCACAGGGTTTCATGGGGTTTAGTAGGGTGCAGTACAGTTTAATACGGTTGCGGCTTTCGAGCTGTAGAGTTTCACGGCTTGGGCTTTGGGAGCCGGGGTCGCTGCTGGATCGTCCAATTCATCGTCGTCTTCATCTTCGTCCTTTAGGGTTCAGGGTTCCGTTGGGGTTTAGGGTTTAGAGGGGTTCAGAGGTTAAGGGTTTCGGGTTTAGGGGGTCTTGGCAGCCCGATCTCTGAAGGCTTCTTGCGACTTTCTAGTTGAGGGTTCCACGCTTGTTTTGCAGGTTTAGGGCTCAAGGGCATCAGGGGTTCAGGGTTCATGGTTGCACATGGTCTTCAGTGGCTGGTGGCTGAAGGAAGGATCTGCGACCTGAACATACAGCAAATGTCTTCCACCATCAGGCAGCCACCCGGAAAGCAGCTTAGGGATTCGAGGGCGGGGAGGGATAGTTCGTATGAAGCCCTATGGGGCGCCAAGGACAAGTCCAGGTGAGGTTATGCACGCGACGCGGACCCCTGCGTTTTTGGGGATCTGCTTCAGAGCTTTGCGGTGATAGTAGGGTTTAGGATTCCTTTAAGAGTTACTATAAGGACTACTATAAGGGATCTATAAGGGTACTACAAGGAGTTTATGTTGCGTTCCGGCCTGTGGATTGGGGACTTCTGGTCCAAGACTTCCGAGTCCCGAGCAGCCCAATCCAAGAACAAAGAAACCACCATCCTCGCAGTACCAGTCTGCAGCTGAACCACAAGAACGTACCGCAGAACCGCCCAGCTATAAGAAAGCTTAAGGATTTAGGACCTAAAACCTACACTCCAAAACCAAACCCTCCCAAACTGAACCACATGTCCCGAAGCATTGAAGCCTCTCCAAATCTTGCCAAACAGAGGCCATGCAATGGCAAGAGCATTCGCTTTCATCCACGTCATCCACCTCCCTTTTGCCAGCGCTTTCACTATCACCAACAAGCAGGCACGAATGCTGAAATCCTCTGACATCTGCAACTACCTGTGATTTTAATGCCTGGAACTGAACATGGATATGAAATGAAATCTCTCGGCGGGCGTGCTCTGCGAAGCCATCAAACCCGAATTTGTAACCAGGGGCATCCTCAGCCGGGCAGCTCCGGCGGTGCGATTTGAGCCCAAGCAAACCACTGCAGCAAAGCTGTCAGAACAAAGATCCTCTTGTCGTTCACGAAGCATGGGATGATCAAGAGCCGCACACCGGCATCTTTGCAAAGCTCGACCTTCCTGGTGTCCCTTTCTTGCTGAGCGTGGAAGTTGGAATGATCACCAAAGTGGAAATAGTGCTCGGGATCGTAGTGCTGCTCTCCCTGGTACTCGAAAGCTAACAACAAATCAGGGCAGTATCCATCTAATTGCAAGCCTTTCAGGAAAGACGGATAAGAGGAGGGAAACATAGCCGGATGGAAAATCGTCTCCAGGGTGCTGCGGATCTCCGCTTCGGTCCGCCAGGTGCTGGCCGCACACTGCGGGCACTACGAGTTGCGATGTAGCACGCTGTTGGCGGTGGCATTCCACCTGTGCCCTTCGCTGCATTCCCAAAGAAGCTTCTCCAAGGAAGTCTTGTACGACGTGGCCAAGCACCTTCCACCGAGCTTGGCAGCATGAGCCTGGAGGCGCGGTAGACCGATTTTTTTGCAGTGGGGACACCAAGTGCCCATACCCAGAACATTTTTAGGTGTTGCCTGCCAAGAATGGCCGTGCTTACACTCCCAGGTTACCTTCGAACGGCTGTTGACGTATTTCTTGGCCAAACACTTGCCACCGCGACGCACGGCATGCTCGCGCAGCCGATGCAGGTCCAGCACAGAATTCCCTGCGCAAACTGGGCACCAACTATTCCTCCGATTCAGGATATCGTTAGGGCGCGCCCGCCAAGTGTGACCCATGTGGCACTGCCAAACTACCGGTGCCGCAACACCCTCATAAGCAGTTGAGAGGCAGCGGCCGCCGAGGGAAGCTGCGTGCTCCTGCAAGTCCTGCAAGCTGCGCTTCCTGTGACAAAGCCCCTTGCGGGAGCATTTGGGGCACCAGGTTCCACGGCTAAGAACACCGTTCGGCGTGGCCTTCCACTTGTGTCCCTGCTTGCACTGCCAAAGCACCTGTGTTTGCGAGCCATTGTGCTTGCGCTTTGACAAACACTGGCCACCTCGCGTTTTCGCGTGATCTTGCAGTCGCTGCAATGGGATCCGCTGCCTGTTTCTGGCACACTCCGGGCACCAGGTCTTTCCATTCAGCACGCTGTATGGAGCAGCATCCCAGGTATGTCCATGTTGGCACTTCCACGGGACTTTCGTGCGATTGTTCTCATACCGGATCGCCAGGCACTTGCCACCCAGGGCCGCGGCATTTTCGTGCAGCCGATCGAGCATGCTCTGCTGTCTGGCACTCATTTTCTTCAATACAAGCTGTTGATCTTTCTCCAGTCTGCATCGCAAGTATCTCCTTGTCTTTCTCAGCAACAGCCCCGCTACAAATCCGCCAGAGCCCCCGAAGGCCCCAAAGCCAGTAAGTCGCGAGGGAGTGATCCTCGGCTCCCCAAGACGATTCACCAGACTTTTGCAAAAGCCTGGCACGCTTTTTGCGCCCATGGCCAATGGGCCCGCGTGCGAACAGCTGCCGAGCATGACCCGATAGACTCTCTATGGAGCACCTGTGAACTGAAAGGCACGAAAACATCATGGCGAATCAGTAAATCGGATCATGGGAGATGCCCGTCGCGAGAAGGAGTGCCAAGCAACAGGAACCTAACTGGTGGCTAGTTTGGTGACAATGATTTCGATCAACGTGGTCGTGGCGGAGGTCGCGGAGTGGTCGTTGTGGTTGTACTAAGACTACGACTACGACCGCAACCACCACGACTGCTACGACTACGACTGCGACTATGAGCTGGAGTATGACGAAGACGACGACTAATCCCACTGCTGCTACTGCTACCACGCCTCCAACTACTACTACCCCTCCTAACCCTACGCCCACTCCTACTACTACCTATTGCTACGGGTAGTGGTAACATCTTAGCACCGGCCTCGGGCGTCAAGGTCGGTGCCGGCTCAGCCTTGGGCGCCTCGAAGCACAGGGGTTGGGCCTGCCGTCTTGGTGTCTTCTAATGTAGGGCTTGAATGATTAGAATAGGGTTCCTTTAAAGGGGTCCTTTAAGGGTTACTATAAAGGATCTATAAGATAATATAGGGGCCTCAACAAATAGCATGGGTTCTGGGGGCCCATTATACTATACTCATAATAAGGAACGCCCAAAATAGTATTGGTAATTATTCAGGCCCTATACTATGCGTTGTCGTCTTTCTTTTTCGTTTAGGGGGCGGCGTTCGGCTTTGGGGTGGGGGGGAGCTTAGGGCTTGGGGTTTGACCTTCTAGAGTTTTGGCTGCGGGGTTCTGGGTTTAGGAGTTTGCTGGGGTTTGGGCTTCTTGGGCTTTGGAGTTGTTGGTTGAATGCTTTGGGTTTGAGGGTTTCGGGCTGAAGTTTTGAGGGAGGGAGAAAAGAGGAAGACAGAGGGAGAGAGGTTGACAGACTTGGCTGACTTCCGGACCCCTCCCACAAGTTAAATCCTCCAATTATGGTTCATACAGAAACCCAAAAAGTTAAAGTCCTGAGCCAACCAGAAGAACGCCAAGGACAGTTGCTTTGGGTGCTGGGCGCTCATGAGAGCCGACGAAGGCTGCGATTCTAAATCGGATGCCCGAGAACCTCCGGCCCTGCCACCAAAAGAGCTCGGTCAGACCGGTTTACGCATTAGCCCCTTTCAAGCCCAAAAACCTTTGTGGAACCCTACAAACTCACGATTGCCCTCATAAATACCTTACTTAAACAACCCACAACACTCGAAAAAAGAATCAGAAACTCCCAAAGTGGGCTGAGCGGCTACTCTCTGCAGAATGCGGATGGGTGAAGGCCAGGCTTGCGCAGGGCCTCCTCACAAGAATTGGAAAGCTACGGGCTTTGTGTTTAGGGTTTAATGGTCTTTTGTAGCAGGTTTTAGGGTTCAGGCTGCTCTTTAAGGGGTTTAGAGTTTAGAGTTCTTGATAAGGTCTAGGATTTAGACAATACCTCAGACCCCTGAATTGAGAGCGTTAGGTGTTTTGGTGCTTATATGGATTTAGGGCAGAGAGTTTAAGGTTCCCGAAGAGGCTCAGGAAGCCGTTGGCCAAGACATATAGGGCTCCCCAAAACCAAAGGCTTTCTGGGATGCTGAACCGGAACAAACACCCTAAAGCTAAAGTGAACCCCAGAAAGTTGGAACATGGGTTTAGGACGATGCGTGCTGGGATTTCCTACACTGTACTTTAAGGGCATGAGGATAATGATGTTCCAACTTTATGGCTTCTACTATAGGTTCCTCAGTAGCCGCCCCATAGTGAGGATACCCATTCTCCTACTATTGGGTTGTAATAAAGGAACCCAAAAAGAAAGCTCAAAAAAGAAAAAGTGCAACGGTGTAATACTGGGGAACCTAGAAGGCTATCAACAAAGCACCCCACAAAAGCCGCCCCAAAACTTGGTCCCTTCCTGGATCGGGGCTTGAGTTTGGAATCTACTGGACGGGGTAGGGTGTAGGCCCTTCAGAGTTATCTTACCTTTGATTAGTAAGGAATAGAGGAATGGGGTACATGTATCACTACCACAGTACTACCCATTCTTTCATTCCCTAATAACCAAAGGTAAGTTAACACCCGAATTGTTGACAACCCAAAGGCCTCGACACTAAACCCTGAACTTCTTCCCGAATCAAATCCGATAACTCCTCAACCCTAAACCCGAAACCCTAAACTCCTGTGTCTTCTTTAACACAAAACTCTTTAAATCCGAAACCCTAAACTCCAGAACCTTAGCCCCTGAGCTCCTCAGCTTGAAAACCAAGCCAGCAACTACAAGCCGCGAAAGCTGAAAGATAGAATTAGGGTTTGGGGTTTAGGGTTGAGGCCTAAAAGCTTAGAACTCAGGGCTGAGGGGCAACTACAGCTCAGAAAGCGTGGCTCTTGAACAATCAACCCCAAACCCTAAAGTCTAAACCCTAAAAACCCAAAACCAACCCAAAAACCATTAATCCCAAACTCCAAATCCTAAACCCAAAAACATCCGAAACCCACCCCTAAAAGCTAAACTACAGCAGCGTGCATGACTGGAAAAGCCCCGAAGCCAGAAATGCCCAACAGCTAAAAAACTCCAAAGAAGAAACTCTGACTACAGTCCTAAACCCTAAACGATTCTACCACCCTAAACCTTCCCAAACCTTAAACGACCCCGAGCCTGAACCCCAAACCCGAAACTGTAAATCCTGTATAACACCTTCTTCAGGTTGCTTCGAGCTGCAGGCGGGCGTGCACAATTGTGCCGTTGATGCTCGTGCCGACAAGTCCTGCCTCCTCTAAACCCTAAACCCTAAAACCTAGCTCCAGCATCAGCTGGCGCAGGCTGCAAGGCTCGCTGCAAGAAGCCCTTCCACTGATCGTGACTTCCATGGCCACCGAGCCCGCATCGCTTGTCCAAGCACACTTCATCAAGATCGGGATTTCGCCTGGTCAAAGCAAAAGCTGGGCGTGTATCAGAGCCGTAGGGCAGCTGGATAATGATGTGTCTATACCTCTATATATATATATATAATATGTACATATACAAATAGGTAGATAGGTAGATAGGTAGATAGATAGATAGAGGGATGACGAGGGAAGATTCTTGACGCATCCCTTCTAACTCCTGCATATGCCTCTGTATCTAGAATCGGCGTCAGCACCTTAGAACACCCTCAAAACAACGCTTGTCAACCCGACAACCCCGTCAAAAAGCTTTGCAGAACCCATAATTGCAAAGCCCGCAAAAGCCAGATGATAACCCTGTTAAAACAAATGTAAAACCGTAACGAAACCCGTTAAACCCATGAAGGAGATCCTGGATGTGTCGGTGGTGGCGGCGGTGGCACCATCATCGTCGGCAGCGCAGTGCAACTGGCCAGTTTGATTTCGGCTTGAGAAGTTGGGACCCCAATATAACCCCCAAAACAGTAGGGTCATTATAATGAGGGTCGCGTTGTTCCCACTGTTGGGTTGCAATACGGGAACCCAAAAGCAAAAAGTGCAAAAGGGAACCACTTAGAAGCTGCACCCACCCTGTAATAGTGACTATAAGGGTTATATAGGATTATACTATTATATTCCTATTATACCACTATTACAGGGTGGGGGCAGCTTCTAAGGTACCACTGCATAACCTCGCCAAAATCAGGAATACGTAGACCTCATGGCCCCTTCTGGAAGGACGTGCCGGTCGAAGGCTGGAGGTCAAGGTTCAAAGATCCCTAAACCCCAGAGGGTTTAGGGTTTAGGGTTTAGGGTATAGGGTTTAGGGTTTAGGGTATAGGGTTTAGGGTTTAGGGTTTAGGGAGTCACACCTACTAGGATACCCAGTAACCTAGGAATAAAAGGGCCTCTCTTTTTGGTATTGGGTAACTTTATAAGGAACCTAGGACTAGAGAAAGGGAATAAGGGTACTACTGGGCATCCTAGAAGATATGGGATGAGTGTTGCGTGCTTGGAGGGTCATGGGTAGTTCTAAGTAGGGTTTATAAGCAGGATACCTATCGCTATAACCTACATCAACGGACTTATAGCTACGTTCAACTCCCGATGAACCTCCAAGTGATCCCAAGCTAGAGCTCCGACCCTAACCTCAGACCCTTTGGTGAACTCTCGGTGCGCAACGGCTGATCTGGTTGGTAAACTGAAGAAGCAACGCTGCACAGAAAATCCCCAAGCGGCCGCGAAAGAAGGGCCTCGTGGCCTGTCAAGAACAGCCCAAGAATGCTGAATTGAGCCTGAATGAGACAAAGAAGCCTTGTCCAGTTTGAGGTGCAGTCTGCATGGACCCGAAAGGGCTTGAAACGGACAGCGTGCAATGCTGCAAGACCGACACCCGCAGAGCCTGAATCGCAAGCCCCACTCCGAACCCCCTGCAGCCTCAAGCCATTGATGTTAAAACCTCTCACATCTACCGAGAGCCCTCAACTAAACCCCAAATAACCTACCTTTTTAAGGACTTATATAAAGAAATCATCTTAGGGTACCCTAATAAGGTAGGTTCCTTAGGGTCCAGGTAAACCCTAAAGAAGCTCTGAGAATTGGGAGCCCGTGAACCTTCATACTCTGGGTCCGAAACCAACCCTACATCCAAATCTCTACAACTTCCGGATGTTCCGTAAAACCTAAACCGTTTCGAGTTGAAGGTTTTGGGTTTTGCTAACCATAAAAGCCCTCAACCCTAAGCTTTCCGAGAAGTCACAGTAACACTTACCTCCGAAATACCACTGGGTTCCTACCCTAAAATCTAAAACCCGAAAAGCTTAAGCCCCTAAAAAAACGATGTCAAGGCACTCTGCCATGGTCGGCTCCGCCGGTGGTGCCTGGCAGCGCATGCGCCGGACTGCTCGAAACCCCCACCTGTCACTACCCATTTGGACTTAGGGTTGAAGGCCTAGGTTTGGGGTTTGGGGATAACTTGCTTTTTGGTAGGGCCAGTTTTGACCCTAATAGATGTGATGGGGCAGGATAGAAAGCCTTCAAAAGCTCGATGGAAGCCTTAAGCTCCAGCTGCCAGGCTCTGAAACCCCGAAACAGAATAATTACCCGTAATGTTGGGCTTGGATTTGGGGTTTAGGGACTTGGGCTCAGGAGAGTTTTAATGCACAACTACAAATTGCTCCGTCCCCTGAAAAACCTTGAGCCCCAAGCCTTCGACCAATTTCGGCCCTACCCCCAATCATCCCCCTGGCTCCCTGGATTTTTGATAGTTCGTAAGCCGCAAACCGTGTACGCCCCCAGAGAGAGAGAGAGAGAGAGAGAGAGAGACAGAGAGAGAGAGAGAGAGAGAGCGAAGCCCTCAAAGTTCAAAAGCCGCTTGGCCCTGCAAAAGGTCCTGAGAGACGTTTGCAGGCTGTGGACGCTGGAGAAGCCGCGGTCGGACCGCCTCCTAGATTCTTTGGATGCTTGAGGGGGTGTGGTAGAACTCCTTAGGGAGTACTATGGAGTACTACAAGTTGGTGGGTAACCCTAAACCCTGAACCCTTAGACAACGTTAGGGAGTACTTCAAGTCGGTGGGTGTGCAGTATTGTGACGCTTTTGTGATTTTTGTATGTCCGTTCTTTTCCTGCTCGGTTGCAGGCGGGGGGGGGGGGCGGGGAAGTGTCTATACATGTTGGGGTGTCATGTCAGTATGGTGAAAAAAACCCTAAACCCTAAACCCCAAACCCTAAACCCTAAACCCTAAACCGTGAACCTCCCATACAAAGCAGCTAGGATCCGTCTTTCACCTCTGGAGCACCTACGACACTCAATGCGGACCCATGATACACAACCCTCCCATTTGTGTGATGAAGCTCATAAGCTGGATCCTAATATGCAGTCTCTTGAAGCAACATGGGAGTTTCCGAAAGTAGGGACCCTAATATAGCACCCTAAATAGTAGGATCCTTATTGTAAGGGCCCCAAAGTAAGGTACCCCTAATTTTCGGAAACCCCCAAATGAGTCCATTAGTCAGGGGGTCTGGATGTGGGAGTCTCGGTGCTTGCGTGACGTGGGTCGCTAAACACTAAACCCTACACCCCGAAACCCAAAACCCTAAACCCTCAACTCCAAACCGTAAACCCAAAACCCTCAACCCTAAACCTTAAACCCTAAAGCCACGAAATTCCGGAAGCGAAACCCCAAACTCCAAAACTCGGACCGCTAGGTTCCCAAACGCGAAAGCCTGAAAGCCACACACTGGGCAAAAAGCTTTTGGCCTTAGGGCTTACATATTGCGTAACCTGTGTTATACGTATTTTTCTACTATACCTTACCTGTAGGACTCTAGGGCCCGGGTTTAAGGTTTACACGGTGTAGCGCTTAGGCTTAGGGCGTATTATGGTTGAAAGGGAGCGGAGTTCTGGTTTGCACATCATTGAAGCTTGGCGCCCGGGCCTTGCCGAAGCCTGCAAGGATGTTTTGAGCTTCGAATGATTCACTAGGCTGGTCAGTGACCCACTGGGAGAAAGTATATAATTTTTTAAGCTTCTTACTTTATAATAGGAACCCAGAAACCTGAAAGTAAAAAAATGTACCACTGAACAGCCTGATTCAATGCTGAAAAGCATCTCATTTTGTCATTTAGCTGAAAACAGGGTAGGTAGCAACAAATAGCGACCTCAGCCGTTTTTGCCGACAGTCTTGCTTTTCCTAGCCCTAAACCCGAAAGCCTAAATACCCCATCCCAAGCTGTAAACACTTGCTTTTCATGACCCTAAACCCGAAAGCCTAAATACCCCAACCGAAGCTGTAAACACCCAAACACGCAAGTCTGTATCGCCACAGAGCGACCTCGTGAGCACGGAAACACTGTTTTCAGTTCATAGCAATAGTGAACCAAGAAGCAAGTATCCCAAACAACGACTCACTGGCTCCAGTTGACGGACAGAACATGACGGACACCAAACGTTGGGGAGTAGGCTTAGGGCTTGCGGTTCACGGCTTAGGGTCACGAAGAAATTCGCATAGTACAGAGACCGTAATCGTTAGACTAAGGCTTTGAAGTATACAGAGATTCTAAGGGGATATAATTTCTACTCAACCGACACGATGTTAGCCTTTTGAACACGCTTAACCCTAAACCCTGAGAAATAATTGCATGTCGTTGAAGACAAAGCGCTTCCAAGCCACAAGCCCTCGAAAGATCGCGGGTCTTCCACAGTGCCGTAAGGCTCAGGGCCCTCACGCATCGGCACCTTGATCCCCACAAAAACCCCAAACCCTGAACCCTTTCCGCTTCCCTAAGCCTTAACAACACCAACCGTTGAACCCACTCGCCCCGTCCGATTTCGCAACAAGCCCCTTATACAAGTTCACGAAGTCAGGAAAACTGTGAGTACAAAGCCTCTTAATCCACGAAGAGAGGGCGCCTGCAGCCTTGGAAGGATGCTTCACGGCATTGCCATTCACCTCCTGCGGGCTTAACAAACTCTTAAGCTTTAAGGGCCAAGGGTGTCAGAACTTCTCTGGTTCCCGCAGGGTTCGTTTCTGGGTTCTGTAAGGGCGGGTTCAGGATTTGGTGTCTTGAGTGGGGGCGGGTAGGGTTTTGGTATTGAAGTTTGGGTTTAGGTTTCGATTCTAGCTTTGCGACGGCTACTGCCATTGCTACCACTGCCACTGCGACTGCAACGACGACGACTCCTACTCCTACTCCTACTCCTACTCGTACTCCTACTCCTACCCCTACTCCTACTCCTACTCCTCCTCCTCCTACTCCGCCTCCTACTCCTACTCCTCCTCCTCCTAGTACTACTACTATTACTGCCACTACCTCTGCTACTGCTACCACTGGTACTATCTGTCACTACAGAGGCCACGGACCCGCGTCCTTCGAAGGCTTCTGCCTCAGCTGCATCTCTTGCACCGAGGGCTGGAAACCACACAGGATATCAAATCGAGGTTTGGGGGTTGAGGGTTACTGCGGGTTCTTGTTAAGGGGTGTAATTTAAGTTACAGTAATAGGGATCTACTGTAAAGAATATGGTTTCTTTACTATTATGATAACTTCAACTTAAATTCCTTAACAAGGAACCACGAATCTATGTCCTGGGTTTCCATTCTCTTCACACATTCACACTCTTCAAAAATATCGTTCTCTTCGCCCACAAGCAGAAACAACGATACCGTTCAAGTATATGAAAGCGGGAAGAGAATGGGCAACTGCCGAACATGTTTTTTGCTCGTCCCCAAGCTCTTCACAAACTCACACTCTTCAAAATTATCATCCTCTTCACCTTCAGGCAGAAAGAAGGATTCCGGCAAAATACGTGAAGAACTTAAGAGAATGGGAGGGAGACCGCTAGAACTAATTGTTCACGCTTCAGCTCTTTCGTAAAAGAGTTTAGGATGCTTAGGTTGTGGTTCCTTCTTCTCGACCAGGGGGCTTGGGCCGATAATGATTGCTGTAACTGGGGATCCTTAGGGAACCTTAAGGGAACCTTAAGGGAACCTTAAGGGAACCTCAGGGAGCAGTAGAGAGAACTAGGGATTAGTAGCATATCTATCCCACTTCGAGCCACATCCCATGAGGATACAATTGTTATAGTAATTAGAAGCCAGAAAGTTGGAACATCATTACCCCCATGCCCTTAAAGTAAAGTAACGGGAATCCTAGCACTAATCATCCTCAATCCATGTTCCCACTTTCTGGGATTCACAGTAAGGCTTTAGAGGTTTAGCGTTTAGGTTTTGGGGCTTCGGGGTTTTGCGTCGAGGCTAGGGTTTAGTGGGGTTTAGTCTCACTTAAGGGGACAATTTGGATTTCAGTCAGAACTTCAGATTTGCTTTCTGGATTTGAGGTTGAGGTTTTTGGGGTAGCTTTATGGCTCAATATAGCCCAAAAGTAGATAGGCCTTCTTGTAAGGGTGCTTAGAGCCTTAGGGTTAGGCCCTAATCCTAAACTTTAGACCCTAAGCCCTAAACTTTAACCCTAAAACTTAACCCTAAACTCGAAACGCTAAACCCTAACCCTGACCGTTCAAGTTTCAGGCTCAGGGGTTTGTTTTTGTCTAGGCATTCTGAGTTTTGGGTAGCTGAGAGCTTCCGCGATGAGGTTTCTCAGGGCCTTTATGGAGTAGAGTCGCCTTATTACGGTTGGTGATACCTACATAGGCACCCGTCTCCGTGGATCCTTGGCATTCAGGTGGCTACCTTGAGGGATTACAGTTCCTGACTTGCAAAACTTGGAAGTTTCACGGCTGAGGGTTTAGGGTTGAAGGGTTTAGGGTTTAGGGAAGCCCAAACCCTAAACCCTAAACCCCATGGGAGGCTTCTGCTTGCTGGCTTGGGGATGTACAATCAGAACAGTGCTTTGGGAACCAGTCTACTAAACTTGTAACAAAGACCCCCCGCAATAGGCAATTCTTTAGGACCCTCTATTACGGACTGTGGAGTTTGACGTTGGATTTCTTCTTGTTGGTGTTGGGGCTCCAACCCTGGCCAAGGCCTTTCTCACTTTGGCGACTCAGGGTTTCATTACTATGCCAAGTATACCTCAAAATGTGCACTCACAGAGTACATGCACCGAAGTGAACGGTTCAAACCTCGCTTCATGTAATACCCTAGATCCTTATGCAGCCTCTCTGAAATCCGCTTATGAAACCCAGCAAGGCCGTTTAAAAATCCCATAGAGCCCTATAAAACCCACGATGTCCGCCCGGCATCGCCGCCAAGGTGCCCTGGCGAGTTTTCCCGGAGAAGCCTCAGGGTGCTGCCAGAGCTAGGGCAGCTGATTCTGGAAGAGGTCGCAAGTAGAGCGTCTCTGAGATTCTACACGATCAGGAATGTTTGTGGGAGTTGTCCGTAGCTTATTAGAAAAAACTTTGTAGGGTTTCGGTCGGGCGGGGGGGTTGTTATTTGACAAAATGACATAGGGATTAGACAAGTCGCTGCTTACTACTGCACTTTCCAAGCCTCATGCAGACACGTATACGAATAAACAAACACATACATACACACATGCGTGCATACGTCAATACATACTTACTTACTCAGTTACTTACACGCATGCATACGTGCTTACTTACATGCTTACTTACTTGCAGACATACGTACAGACAAACAGCACTTTTCCAGCAGCCTTACGGGTAGTACGTGGCAGCGCTGCAAACAACGTAGAATTACAAGGCTACACCCAAAGGGTCCAAGTACCGACAGACTGTATCAAGGCATGCTATGGGTCTGCTGCCCTTGTACTTGTGCGTGTTTCACGTTATCTTTTCTTGAAGGGCTTGTTTTTCCGCCTGCTCCAGCGAAAAGACGTCTAAGGATTGAGGTTCAGGATTTTATGGTGTCTATAGGGTAGTGAACCCAGGATCAGGAGTGGGGATTTTGGGTTGCGGATATAAGGAAACCCTACCTGGACCCTGAGGAACCTATCTTTTTTTAGGGTTCCCTAACACGATGTCATTATAAAAGTCCTTAAAGGGTAGGTTATTTGGGGTTAAGGTAAACCCTAAACCCCAGAACCGTACACCCTAAGCCGAAGGATTCCGGGTTGAGGGTTTAGGGTTGAGGGTTTAGGGTTTGGGGTTGAGGGTTTTGGGAACCAGAGTATAAAGGAGTACGGTTTTGGGGACTTGGGTCTGACAGGGCTGCCGCTTAACTGCGTTGTACTTTTCGGTGCTCCGAGAATTTTATGAAACTGTTTACGAGTTCAGGGTTTAGGGTTAGGGTTCAGGGTCTAGGGTATTCGGGTTTTGGGGTTTAGGGTTTATGTTTAGGGTTGCTCCGAAAAAGACTTGAAAGTCAAGAAGCCGTTTAGGAATGCTCAGTCATCCACCCTCACGATTATATACCTTCTTGGGCTAGGGATACTACACCAGGAACCCAGCAAAAACAACACAAACACCACTCAACAACGTGGGTGAGAGTTTGCGCAGGATAGTCCTTGTAATGACAAAATCATACAAACAGGCCCTTCCAATTGGGAAATCCCGTAAAGAAGGTATCCTCACCGAGCTGTTGATTCCTGAGCTATTGGGGAACTACATAAGCTAGGATACCCAGTAACCTAAGAATAAAAAGGCCTCTCTTTTTGGTATTGGGTAAAACTTTATAAGGAACCTAGGACTACAAAAAGGGAATAAGGGTACTACTGGGCATCCTAGCCCCTAATTTTCGGAAACCCTAAACCCTTTAGAGAACCCTTATAGATCCCTTTAACGAACCCTTATAGATCCCTTTAAAAGGGAATAAGGGTACTACTGGGCATCCTACGTAAGGGACCCTGGCCTGCAACAAAATCTCCTAACAACCTGACATGCCTCAGAACCGTCACGATCCCGAAAGGAACCCAAATCAAAACCCATAGATATCTAGATATATATATATATATGTATACATATATATATATATATATATCAAGCCTTTGCATAGAGCCCTGTTACAGTAAACCCCATAAAGTTGGAAACCGGATTAAGGCCAAATAGTACTGGGACTCCCCATACATTACTCTTCAGGATTGAGGCTATGGGGTTTCCAACTTTTGGGCTTCGACTGTAGAGCTCTTGCAGGAGCCCTTCCCGAGAACCGCAACCCCGGCCCTGGGAGCTGAAAAAGACCCCCCCTTGTGCTGCCATCGGTTTAGGGTTTAGGGTTTAGGGTTTAGGGTTTAGGGACCCGAACCACTGACCCCCAAAGCCCAAACCTTCTGTTGATGATATAAATCTTGCATTACCTTCATGACCCTAGACTATAGGAATGATGGTATATTCCTCATTATGGGTAATGCAGGATGCATTTATATCATCAACCGTTACACCTTAAACCCCAAATCCCACACCCTACTCTCTCTGCACGCCGAGGCACACTTTCCGATGCATCGGCTGCTGGTACGGCACCGGAGCCTTGCTCTTACAGTAAACTCCATAAAGTTGGAAACCGGACCTTGAGGATTGAGGCTATTGGGTTTCCAACTTTTTGGGCTTCTACTGTAAGGGTTTCGGTTCTTCTTTTTCTTCGGCCGTTTTAGCCTTCCGCTCCCGAAACCCTTCAGCCCTTCAACCTATATCTGAACCCCCAAACCCATCAACCCTACTGTGGATGATATCAATCCTGCATTACCTTAAGGACCCTAAACTATGGGAACTATGGTATATTCCTTATTATGGGTAATGCAGGATTTGTATCATCAAACCTTAAACCCCTAAACCCACTTCGCAAGCACCCAGCTTGGAGGTTCATGGGTAGTTATAAAGTAGGGTTATAAAGTAGGATAACGATTGTTATGACTCATATTGGGGGACGTATAACCCCACGTTTAACTACCCTACTCCCTAAACCCTAGAGAACCCTTAAAGAAACCCTTGAAAGGAACCCTACACCCTTATCACACCACTTATAACTACCCATGAACCTACGTATGAGCCCACGTTTAACTACCCATGAACCCCCGAGTAAACCCTAAGGCTGCGTGCTACTTCGCTGATTCAGCCCCGCCTTTGCTTGAAGATCCGAAGATCCACGAACTTCCTTAAGGGAGGGTCTAAGGGATCAGGGGTTTAGGGTTGGGTTTGGGGTCTAGACTTTAGGGTTAGGGTTGGGTTTGGGGTTTGGACTTTAGGGTTAGGGTTTGGGGTTTGAGGTTTAGGGTTTAAAGGTTTAGCGAACATCTCTTTCAAGGTCTTTCAAGGTTCCGACAAGCGTTCTTAGACGGGATATACGGTTTAGGAGACTTAGCGTGGGTGATGCCGGCGACTAGCATGCTGTCAGGCCAGGCACTCGCGGCCGCAACATCCGGCCAACTGCACGGCTTGGAGATGATCTCCTCTGTGGTTCTTTCTTCTCTTCCCCTCTTGACGTTGTCCCCTGGCCGTCTTCGTCGTACTGCCTTCGACGGTTGAGGTTCTCGTTCTGAAGGTTCTTTTTTTTCGTTTGATCTCGCTCGCTGAGAAGAACTGGCGGCACTTCTTTGCAGACAGAGGCAAGGTTGATTCTCTCCTTTCTGCCGAAGACACGGTCTGGAGCGGCGCAGGCAGCCGCGGAATGTGATCCAAGCAAGCGCAAGTATGAAATGGCACTTACCGGGCAGCCGTTAAGCCAAGCCGGGCACAAAAACAAGGCTGCTCAGAACTTTCCAAGACATCAGAGCCAGTTAGAAGTTGCTCCAGAGTTTAGGGTCTAGGGCTGTCTGGGGCTCAGGCTTTAGGGTGTTATGAAGTGCCTTCGCTGGCCTTCGAAACCATGTTGGAACCCTAATCCTTCAACTTAGCGGTTAGGGTTAAGGTCTTATAACCTCGACTATCACTGCAACAAGCACATGAAAGGTCTACACGCCCTGGCCCTACAAGTAGAGTAGAACCCTGAACCTCAAACCCCACTTGGAAGGGCAGGGGACTTCGTAAGTAGGTTCTAAGTAGAGTTATAAGTACCCTAAATGGAGTTACCCCAATTATAACCCATCTTATAACCTACTTACTAAGTCCCCTGCCCTTCCAAGCATAAGCCACACTCCAGCCCTTCTAAAAGCCTTGGTACGGTGGATGGACGAAATCTTGCACCACCTGTAACGATTGAAGCATCAAGCCCCGCACCCCCGACTGGACACTAGAAGTACTTGAGCGGTGCAGGATTTCGGCCACTGGAACAGCCTTTCACAGGCAATGTTAGAAACGGAAAAGACATCTATGAAAAACGGCGCAGGGTTTTGTCCATCCACAGTAGTAGTCTAAAACCTAGAGATAGAGAACGATGATGACGAGGCTGTCGATGACGCGGCGACTGGTAGTATGTAAGCGTTTAGGATTTACGGCCGTCCGTCGATGATCTTCTTCGCAAGCCAAAGAAACGCCTAGTCTTTCAGTGCATGGGAGCTGAAGAAAAAGGGGACCTGATCGTAATTTTACGAAGACCCCAACCCCTAAACCTCTAAACCCCTAAACCCCTAAACTCCTAAACTCCTAAACCCCTAAACCCCTAAACCCCTAAACCCTTAAAACCCCCAAACCCCTAAACCCTAAACCACATGTCTCGGCTTCCCTTGCCAAGGAGCTTTCTGCTGCAAGAGATCACCCTGGGGCCGTTTTGGTTTAAGGGTTTAAGCTTTAGGGCTTTGGGGTTGAGGGTTTAGGGCTTTGGGGTTTAGGGTTTAAGGGTTCAGGGCTTTGGGGTTTAGGGTTTAAGGGTTTAGGGTTTACCGGTTTACGGTTTAAAGCTTTACGGTTGAGGGCTTTGGGCCTTGGGACGGTGGGCCTTGAGGGTTCAGAATTCGGTCGCGCGAACTAAGAAAATCTTGCTGAGGGACTTAATTTAAGTCACCATAAGAGGGATCTATAGTAAATAATAGGGTTTCCTTTTTATGGTGATGTACATTAAATACCTGAACAAGAACCCAGAAAGCTCTACAGGCACCAAGTAAGTAAACCCAGAAATGCAGCTGCTGTATCAAGTGACCGTATTTTGCTGTTTTGGGCTCCGGTAAGAGCTCAGCATACTCTAAACCCTAACCCCTAAACCCCAAACCGTGGACCCAAAGTATTGTGGCTTCTGACTTAGGGACTTTTGAGGCTTAGGGTTTGTTGCTATAAGGGTCACAATGAAGGTTTGTAGGGGTGTTTCGGGTTTAGGGTTCATGCTATCGTCGAGGGTTTAGGGTTCCGAGCTGCGGGTTTCTAGGGCTGTGGGCATCTGGGTTTTGGTGTTTAGGGTTTAGGGAGTTTAGGGAGTTTAGGGTTTAGGGTTTAGGGTTCAATGCAAGAGACCAGCCGATCTACGCACAAGCGCTTGCAACCCACCCTGCCCAACTCCAAATCCCGAGCCCAACACCCTAGAAAAAGATCCTGCTGGCATTTGGCGGATCAAGGGACTTCGCAATTAGGGGTACAAGTTCGAGCACATTTTTATACAAATCCGAGACAACCTACGAAACCCCATGAAGCGCCAAACCTCCAACTAGAAATTAGAACACATAGAACCCGTGTAGACGCCCCTCCCTCTCTGCCGGACCTCGTCAGGATAGCCGCCAGACCGCGCCATGGCCTGCGTGCGGGGCAAGGATGATGACGCTACTGCCGATGATAGGAGTACTACAAACACTAAACGGTTGTAATAGCAATACTCAGCGTCATGAGTCATCATCATTGTCATCACGATCATCATCATCTTGGTCGTAACAGGTGTGGAGTGGTCGTGGAAGTAGTAGCGGCAGTGGCAGTGGTGGTGGCAGTGGCAGTGGGAGTGGTAGTGGTAGCTGTGGTAGTGGTGGCGGTGGCAGTGTACTTGGAGGTTCATGGGTGGTTATAAGTGGGGTTATAAGTCTCCTAATATGAGTCATAACTACAGTTACCCTAGTTATGACCCTACTTATAACTACGAATCATGACCCTCCAAGTAGTGGTAGGAAACCCTGCTAAACCCTAAACCCTATGGTAGTGGTAGGAAACCCTCCATGCACGCCGGTGCCTCCGACAGGTTCGTCTCCTCTCGAGGCGGCGTTCCGACCTGCAAGACACCACTACTTGGAGGTTCAGCCCCAGTTATCAGTGTGCTCATTTTAGGGTTTAGGGTTTAGGGCCTAGGGTTGGGAGTCCCCTGAGTAGAGCCACAGTTACATATGCTATATCTGGGTTCGAAGTACAACTTTACTTGGGGTTTGCCACGAAACGACGTTCGCACTGTGTTCCAAGGATTGACCTGCTCCAACTGGAACTCGGACTACTCCTGCACGGTTTCATGAAAACGATGACAAATCAAACTGTGTAGAACCAAACAAGTCCTATACACTAAACACTAAATCTTGGAACCCGTAAGCTCTAGCCGCTAGACTCTAGCCGAGCCCATCTCCGGAATCAGAGTTTCGAGAGTGAGCGCAAAGAAACCGAAAGGTGGCTGTTTCTTACGGTGCCTCTTTACTCCACGAGGTATTTTAAGGTTTAAATTTTAAATGTTATAGTTTAGCACAGGACAGCACTCACAACCTTGACCAACCTCAACACAGTCCCCTTTACACCGCAGAGCAAATGCAAGGCCCTTGCCCAACGAACACACAGCAGAGACAAAAGCCCAATAAAGGCACAGTAAAGCTAACTATCCTATGAAGCCTATAAACTGTAAAAAAACCCTAAAACGCACACATCTTAAAACACTATCCGCCCAGCAGAAACTTGTAGATCTTTACTAGACCCACACTACCCTGAAACAGACAGGAACAAACCGTAAACCCTAAACCCTAAAGAGTACCCCCGATTAGGCTGTGCAAAGTGCGACTCTGGGATTAGAACCCCTCCAGACCCTAAGCCCTAGACCCGTAAATCAAAGGGGAAAAGGAGGGACCCTTAATGGGGACCCCTACCCTATAATGGGCTATATGACAGGTATATAATAGCTATATTAAGGGTATATACCTAGGGGTCCTGATTAAGGGTCCATCCTTTTACCCTTGGAGTAAATCCTATGCCTGATCCCTGCTTACCCACGGAAACCTAAACCCGGGCATAACAACCTAAACAACTAGAACTATCGCTACATAGAAAACGTAGTATTGCAAAGCAATCCCTAAACCCTGAAACCCTAAGCCCTAAACCCCTAAACCCCAAACCCTGAGACCCTCCTCTACGTTTTGCACATCCGTTCTTCCGGACTGCCGAGCCCCCCCGCGGGAATATACATTGAATCATATCGGTTTACTAGGTGGGGCTTTTAAAGCCTTTGAGAAATATTAGTAAATAAGATCCTCTTAAGCCCAATAAGGGAAAATATGAAATATCCCAAAGCCCTACCTAGTTTAGGGTTCAGTCATTCTAATGTCTAATGATCCCTGTAAAAATGAAGGCCGCATCCCCCAACGCAGGGCGTTTGGGGTCCCTAAGTCATCCCATAAAATGAACCCCATCAAACCCATCAAACCCAGCGAGAATCTTACAAGACTCTATGAAAATCAATCCCTATACACCCCGTCTAACTCCATTGTAAACCTCCAGATACTTCCATATCAGCCAAAGCACTTTAAAATTTAAAACCCGCTATACGCCGACCCAAGCAAGGCCCCCGAAAAAAATGCATATAAGCTAGGACGGGGGTATCGCGCATAAACCCCTTATAATGCAGCTAAACATAAGGTGAGGATATCCCTGTGAAGTGCTTTCTCTAGGAGCCTTCATAACTAGGGTTTTGGGGCATCTTATACTATCACTATAATAAGAAACCACCAAAACAGTTATAGATAATTATCATCTTATACTATCACTATAATAAGAAACCCCCAAAAACAGTATAGATAATTATTCAGGCCCCTAGAGTCTAGTTGTCAGTGGGGTTCAGACCGTCGGTCTATAAGGGTTTGAGGGTTCTATAAGGCCTCTATAAGGGCTCCTGCTTGGAGGGTCGGGGGACTTAGCGAGTAGTTATTATATAGACTTATAAGTACCTTAATAGGGACCCAAATTGGAGTTATGGTACTTCTAACTCTATAAAATAACTACTTACTAAGTCCCCCGACCCTCCAAGTGGTGCCCTTCTCCGTTTTGAGGTCCCTAACCAAAGGCCTCGAGGGGCGAAGTGGCATCCGGGGTCGTCCTGACTGTCTCGGGCTCCTGCTGGCTCGGATTTATCGCTTACACTTGGGGTGCAGAGTGTAGGGTGTAGGGGGTTGAGGGCTTACGCTTTAGGGTGTAGGGCATAGGCTTTAGGATGTGGGGTGTAGATGGATTTAGGCTTTAGGGTGTAGGGTTTAGGGTGTAGGGTGCAGGCTTTAGGGTGCAGGGTGGATGCAGGGTGTAGAGTTTAGGGTTTATCACTTACGATTTGGGGTGGACTTGGAGGTTCATAGGTAGTTATAAGTAGGGTTGTAAGTAGGATAACTATAGGTATAGTCCATATTAGGGACCTATAACCCCATGTATATCTACCCATGAAACTCCAAATAGAGTGTAGCGTGCAGGGTGTAGGGTTTAGGCTTTAGGGTGTAGGGTTGAAGGCTTAAGGTGTAGGGCTTACGGCTTGTAGGGTTTAAGGGGCTTCCAATACGGTTCGAAACGGATGTAATAGGGGGCTTAAGCAAAGATGTGTCCAAGGCCGGTTTGGGGGCTTCCATCGGTGTTAGGGCTCAGGGTGCGGAATGAAGTTTAGGGCTGGGATGTTCTCAGGATTTCGATGGGTTCTATGAAGGGGCTGTACACGGGTTGGAGAGAGTTCTACGTGGCGCCACGGCCCAAGGTTTACCACCCCCAAATAGCCCACCTTTTTAATGACTTATATCAGGAAGTCATGATAGGGCACCCTAAACATGAAGTCCAGGTAGAACCTAAGATTTCAAAATGTAGAGCTTTCGGGTTTCCAGGCGCAGAGCTGCACAGCTGAAGGCCTAGAGTTTGAGGATATCGGGCTTGTGGCTTTGGGTTGTAGGGTTTAAGGTTTAGGGTTTAGGGCGTTGAGGGTGGAGGGAACGCCCAGGAAGGCTTAGGCATAAAAGGTTTTGGGATTTAAGCCCGGATGCATACGAAAACAGAAGTGGGTGTTTCCGAAACCTTACTTCGGGGTCCGTATAATAAGGATGCTACTCTTGAAAATTCAGCATCATGGATGTGTGCCACACGGTCGTGGTGCTGCCATCTTGCATGGTCGACCCGCAGCTCTGCAGCAGGGTTGCTAGGCCGCCACTCCCAACAAGTCACTCGTGATGCCGGCCGTCTGCCATTCAGCCGTCTGTTCTGCAGCTTCTTCTTTTTTTTTCAGGAGGAGGTTTCTAAGGCATTGGTGCACATCCGTGATGTGACGGCAAAGCATCGCCTCCGTAGGCGAGAAATTACCTTTGGTGTCACCAAGCCGGAAGAATGGGTCCCAGTTGGACGTGGCACCGTCTATTAGGGTTCAGGGTTTAGGGTTTAGGGTTTAGGGTTTGCTGCAAGATTGCGTAGCGGTAGTGTAACAAGGATTGTAGGATTTATTAGCGGTTTTGTTGCCTGCGAATCGCAGACATGGCCCGACTGTGGCGGGCCATCATATAACTCACCCACCCCACGCCGTCTGAGGCGGCAAACCACCCAAACCTATACCTTTTAGGGTTTAGGACCTAAACTCTGTTAGGTCCATGTTGGTTAACAACAACCACACAAAACGGCAGCCAAGCTTCTGCGGAAAAAAAGGCAGGGCAGAGGAGGGCAGAGTACGGCAGGAGGTGGGCCAGAGGGGTGGGAGGGTCAGGGTGCAGGGGTCGCCAGGGGCGGCCAGGGGGGTCCAAGCCTCCCCGGGGGTGAAACACTGAATGTTACACATCCAGGTGCCTGTCTGTTTCACGTATCACTTGCATGTATCCATGCCTGTTGCTCAAGGTTCTAGTGCAGTGGACTACAGCTGTGCGCCTGTAGCAAAAGAGACACCTGAGTGCCTGTGTTCCTGTACGCCTAGCGAGGGGATACACGTCCAGGTTACATCTCAACGTGGTAGCGGAGCTCCCGGGAAACGGGAAGCTTCACACTTGTGGAGGTACCCGTTCGGTACTCTCTACACAGGTGGAGGCAACCGGAATACCCGGTGTGCTTCACTCAGGTGAAGGTGACCGGAGTCTCTCCGGCACACTTCACTCAGGTGAAGATAACCGGAAGAGGTTTCTCCCGGGGCTCGATCCAAGAACAGCGCAATGGCTAGCCACTCTGCGACTATCTTTGAGCATGAAGGAGGAGATGATGACTACCTCCTCCACGGAAATGAATCTTTCGCGACTAATCATCGTCATCTCAATGAATTACACCGTCTTTCAGCTTTCCAGCAGGTGACCACCAAAGTACCTCCATCTTATGATGGTAGAAGCAGTTGGTTTGCCTATGAAGATGCGATCGATGACTGGTGTGACATTACTGAGCTAGACAATGATAAGCGTGGACCAGCTTTGAGAAATCGGCTAGAAGGTGAAGCAGCAATCCACAAGAGACTTCTCGACAGAGATCGCCTGAAGGACCCGAACAACGGAGTGAAGTACTTCAAGAGTTTCCTGCGGCCGCTTTTCGTGAAGGGAGCAGCGAATGTTTTTCTCTATCGCTTCCAGCAGTTCATGAACATGCACCGTGGGAACGGAGACATGCTTCGTTGGATTACCAGGTTTCAACTCTCTGTTCAGAGAATGCAAGAAGCGTGGAACGATACCTATCTGCCGATCGAGGACCCGGGCATTGCAGAGGTCAGAGCCTTCATAGTAGGACTTCCTCCAGAAGAACAAGAAAACCTTACGCCAGCTCAGGCAATGGAGAGAGCCAACGAACGGCTCAGAGAGCAGCATGCTCGGACCATTCCGATCACGCCCAACCTGGTCGCCTTGATCTTTGTGTCTCTGTCTGATCTGACACAGGATCAGCGTCAGGTGTTGACATCACTGATGGCGCATCGGAACCGAGTCCTGGCTGACTACAACACGGCCGAGCTTCGCGAAGTCTACCTGGAGATCTTCTGTACGACCAAGACTACCGTCGACAATCCACTCCTCGCTCCTTCCGGCCACGGTGGCCGCAAGACCTTCCTTGTGATCGATGAAGGATATTTGAACGATCATGAAGGCTACTGGGTCGAGGACGAGGAAGATGGCACCGAAGGTTTCCTCGAAGCGGATGAGGACGCCTTCTGGGTCTACGACGACGAGAACTATTCATGGTTCCAGCGGCGCTTCCAAGGCCGCAAGATGAGGCGCGGATTCAAGGGCCACCGTAAAGGCAAAGGAAAAGGTGGCAAAGGATCCAAAGGAAGGCGCTTCTTCAAAAAGAAGAAAGGCAGGTCACATCTTGCCGAAGAATCAGAAGCATGGCAAGCAGAAGGACAATGGCAAGATTACCAGTGGAGCGATCAGTCCTGGGATGACTGGTCCTGGTATGAGTCTGAGGAATCCTATGCAGCCAAAGGAAAAGGAAAGAAAGGAAAGAAGGGCAAAGGAAAGAGCAAGTTTGGCAAGGATGGAAAAGATGGAAAGTCCGGAAAAGACGGACAGAGCCAGCTTGCTGATGCTGCCCCGAGCGGCACCACAGCCGCCACAACCTTCTTCGTTGAACATCTCAACACTCCGAACTTTTCTTTCATGGCCACCGAAGAGAAGATCAATGAGATCGAGGAAGCCTTCATCTCTCAGCCCTTGACGCCGACCGCGATGGTGTTGGACCTGGGATGCACGAGAGCAATGGCTTCGAGAGTGGCCGCACAGGACCTCATGGAGTTCTGTGACAAGAACCAGAACTGTGGCATATGGTACACCATTGCTGAGACCACTTCTCAGTTCACCTTTGCCAATTCCGAGTCTACCAAATGCAACCAGAAGTTGGTCATTTGCATGTACGACCGGGACTTTGCAGTTCAATCCACAGAGTTCGACATTGTGGAACAAGGGCATGTTCCCATTCTCATGTCCTTACCTCAGATGCGCAATCTTCGTTTCCAGTTCGAGCTCCATCCGGAAAAGGCCTTGCTCAGCAGCCCTGTGCTGGGAATCAAGGATGTGAGGCTGAAGGTTGCACCCAGCTCACACCTGGTACTTGATCTTCTTGAACTCAGTCAGCTGATGTGGAATGTGCGTTTCAGCAAGCATAAGAAGTCGAGCTTCCTCACCTACTTCTCCCACTACGAGTACGGCTTCCATCAGAAGACCGAGGGATGCTGTTCTCATGAACAGGTACCCGACAATCTCGTGTTGGCGACTGATGATGAATGGGTGATCAACGAAGCCGACATGGAAATGATTCGCATCCACAAGAAGATGAGAAGAGTCAAGTACGAACCCAAGGCGGGTTATGTGCCAATTCCGTTGGAGTATCTGGACACCAAGCGCAAGACGATCATGGAGTTCTCCAAGGGAAAGAGCGTTACTCAAGAAGATGACTGGCGTTCTTCTGAGCTTTCTTCAACAAGAACTACTGACTCTTGGAAAGGCAAGACCATTTTCAAGATTCTGCCTGGTGGCATCGAGAGTAGAACCTCGGTGCCAGCCAAGTCCAAGGATCCAACCCGTGGAAAGGTAGGATCTCCAGAGGACATGGTTAGCGCAGGTAAGCCTGAAGACAGCTCGAAGAACACAGGAGCATCCGGAAGCTTTCCGCAGGGAAAGGCACCGGCAAAGAGAAGGATTCGAGCCAAGGGAAGCTTTCCACAGGGAAAGGCACCCGAGGAACCGGCTCCTCCTCCTCTTGCTCCTGAGGATGATCCGGATCTTCAAGAGTACGAACCTTCCGAACCGGGGGATGCAGATTTGCTTCCTCCGAGTCCTCCGAAAGGCCCCAGAGCCACAGTCGCTAGAACCTAGGAGGATCGCGCTTCCGTTGCCAGGCCACGAGGTCTCAAGGGCTTCTCCGCAGTATCAGCGCATGTTGGAAAAGCTGAACAATGATGTTGAGCTTTACAAGTTGCATGTGAAGCATTACCACATGAGTCCTGCTCAGTTTCGACGCAGGACCAGCATGCTTGGTCTGCCAGGAGAGATCTATGACAAGTACGACCGCATTGTCAAAGGCTGTCGTGTTTGTAGCACCTCGGTGCCTACGCCTCCGCGAGCCAGAATCGCAGGGTTAAGAGCATCATCCTTCGGTGATCTCATTTTTGTTGATCATGAAGAAATCAAGTT